ACCGCTTTTTTATGGTTGTAGGGCCACGCAGCAGCCTCGGCTGTTGCACGAATGGGCAGGCTCATCCGGGTAAGTACCACGACCACACAGAAGACGGGCGTAAAGTGGAAGTATAATACTTTCGCGTTTCGTCTGGTGAGTGAGGTGGCCGGAGCCCAATTTTCAAAAGGTTTTCAACGCATCTGCAACCCCCGGGTGTAGCAGATGTCCATGGGCGGCAGTATTCACTAAACATCAGGTGAACCGTCTGCTCGCTTGGCAACTTTTCATGTAAGAAAAAAAAGCGAGGCAGTGTAGTGAATTTTGGTAAGTTCACTGCCTCACCGTAAAAATGTAAGACAGCAATCGTTGCACGTAAAGTATTCGGTAAACTCATGTCGCCCTGGTGAAATTATAATTTTAACAGCCACAATTTGACGTCCCAGTCACGCTATTACAATAATATCAAAAAAGGTATAATAATTTTTAATTACAAATAAAATGTCTTCTGATTGATGTTTATCTGGGACCTTTCGGAACTGCCAGTAAGTTAAACTTTATAAATTCCCAGTATTGCGAGAATGGAAGAAAGTTTTCAAGGCGGAGCAACCAAACAATAAAACATTCATTAAGCACATTGAAGCGTGAAGCTCCTTCATTATCTTAACCTCATTAAATACTCTGACAAAACAAAAGTTTCTACGTTCAGAAAGAGGTGGAATAATTTCTCGTACCTAGCAGACTAAAATAATTGGCATGAAAAGTTTGACTTTGCCTTTTATTAAGTTTTCGTTTACATAGGTAAATATAATAAATTGAAACCTATAGGACGTAAGGGCAGAGATTTAATTTGTAAATTTTATGTGAGAATGGTAGGCCTATGTTCAGTAGTAGGAAATATGATGATGATGTGGCAAGTATGCAGACGACTCAGTTAATGTATAGTGTTACACTCTGCAAATGGACATGTACAACATATGTGAGGTCCCAAAGCTTTAGCTATTTATTAACTAATAACCTCATTTAGCAGACGAAACGTTAAAGTACAATATTTTCACTTCACAAAAATGGTCTGTGTAACCGTGTATTAAAGACTGAAGGTTGGTCGGCCAAAATAAAATAGTGAGGATAGCGTAAACAACTTTATATAATATTTATTAGGCTACTTCCTACTTATAAGGACAGAGTAACGTTCTGTACCGAAGATAACAGATATACAAAAATAAATGAGTCATTTCCTCGTACAAATCAATGCACTCATTAAATTACTAATACAGTTAATCGGATCAGCCTATTAAGTTATACAATTATTATTATGCATGGTTTATTATATAATATTATACCATATATGGTTTAAAGTATATTAGGTATAATTGTTATTGCTCGTATATTAAGCAGTGTTGCCAGTGGATTGTAATACATAGTACCTTTTGGTCGAGCAGAAGCTTCGTGGCCCTATTACATAACTATTTGCCACAAACACATATTTTTAAAGTCGGTTATTCTTCATGATACATCCCACAGACATCCTTACTTCACGGAAACGGACTTTTAAAAACTTGTTTTCGTTAAGGGTTGGTTAACCATCATAGCAGTAATTAATTTTAAGTGATAAAAACAAGAAAAATAGAAAGAAAGGAAAAAGAAACGCGAAAGAACATTTAAGCGTTCAAGACTTAGTGCAAGGAAAATATGAAATAATTAAGCCACATTAATTTATTCCAATATCTAACAGCTGTACATGGAGCCCGAGGATTTCTGAATAGACTCCGTTTTCGACGTGTAACGTGAGCTTTTTAATTAATAATTCAAGCACATTTCTACGCTGCAGTGTCATAATAGGAGGCCCTAATGACTGCAGCTGCTGCTAAAGTCTAGCCGTTTTAGGATAAAGTGGCGTGCATTTATATCCTTCATTTTTAAAATATTATTTCCCTTACAAGTTTCGGCTGCCAGTTTTCGTTTTTCTTCTGTAAATTTGTACTTATTTCAACGATTTTAAAAGATAGAATAATAAAACTGATACATTCTTTTTCTGTGGTACCTTATTTTTATTAGCAACATTTTAAAATGAAAGCTAATAAAATGGTATTCATTGCGTAGGAGTATTTTTTATGTGAAAAGCGTATTTTTTATGTGAAAAGGTGACAAACGGGCTTGCGGTTCACATAATGTTAAGTGATAACCGCCGTTAATCATTTGCAACCTTTAAATAAAGTGGGCTCCGGCTACCTCACGCACCAGACAAAACGCAGAAGTATAACACTTTCACTTCACGCTGGTATTCTGTGAGGTCGTGGTTTTACCCAGACGGACGCGCCCATTCGTGTAACAGAGAAGGCTGTTGCGTGGCCCTACCACAGTTTGATTTATGTTTAATTATTCATTTTAAGCCGTGAAATAAAACAATAGAATTCTATTAATAAACATGAGGCCCCTTCGTTAACAAGTGTGCGAACATAATCTACTACATTCCGAGAGCCCTCCGCCGCCGGAGACAGTGTAGGGAAGTCACGTTCGCTACGGTCGAGTACCGACGGGAATCCGTCCAAAGTTTTATCCATTAATTTGCCAGTTTGTCAAGGGTTAGTGAATCTTTCAGGTTATTCGTGTTTCCTACAATCCATGAGATATTTCAGCTATACGAATGATATCTCATTTTTTTTTATTTAAGATATCATTCGTCAATGCAATTACATCCTTATGCGATAGAATAGCTCAGTTCGAAAGGAATCATAATATGTTAACAAATTATAACATTTGAAAGAAGGGTAAGTTGAAAGATAAAGCTTGGTTGATGGTTGAAGATCTTTGTAAAAGTTTGTCTAAGAAAATAATACTGGTTCGATCTCATATAGGTTAAATGTGATGACGACAGCCTTTGTCACTAAAACAATAAAAACAAGTAAATATGAAAGATATTTTCGATAAATTTCAGGTATATATATAACTGCATAATTTTTTTATTTGACTAGATATTTGTTTATATAATTGCAATTTGTAATATATCCCTATATGAATCCAAGATATTGAATATAAATATCATACAGGCTATTACTTTATTTTTTCTTTCATGCATTTATAAAATTTCTTAATTTACCGGTAATTAAATTTTTTTGAGCGCTATAACGGGCTTACCAATTTTTATAATAAAAGCAAAGTCGGACCATTCAATATCTTTTCGTCTTGAAGGCGCTTTTCTCTCTATTAAACATAAGTATTCCATCGTAAAAAATCAACTGAAAGACCGCGTTTGCGCCGTGAAACGCTTCTCGCGCCATAACCTCATTAGTCTCAACTTCCAAACAAAGGAACTGAATATAAAAAAAAAGACTATAATTTTGAATGGGTATGAGCCCTAACAGCTTATTGTCCGGGAGCTCGCTTTTCATTCAATATACTCCAGCAACCTCAGTTCTATCCCGATGCCGGCACCAATGAAATTGTTAATTTTAAGTGCTGACTTTTGCCATGCTCAACGATGTAGGAAAAATAACAAAAAGAGTGGGGTCGCGTGGTGTACTATGCCCTATACAGCGGAGGCCTTTGCCCAATATTGTTACATATACAGCGTGTCGTTACCATCGCGACAAAAAATGAACACACGTCTAACGCTACTTGCCAATAATCATAAAAAAATATTAACCTTAAACAAAATCCATAATTAAAAAAAAATATTTTTCAAACAAACTAATTAAGTAAAAAAGAAACAAAATTTATAACACCTATACAACTCGCGCCACAGCGTCGCATTACAAGCCACTCCTTCTAACAGTATGTTTTGTCTCTTTTAAATTCATTCAACCCATTCATATGTTTTGTGACCTTTACAAATGAACTTTACGTTACGCTTTTATAGGTAAGGGTGTTCTAAAATTCTTTGTTTTGGAAAATTTAATAACTCTGTAAATATTGATGTTTAAAGAATTTAAATGTTTAATACAACTTTAAAAAGTTATCCCCTACATGTATGTTCATTTATGGTCGCGATGGTAACGACACGCTGTATAAGCTGTTACTAAACTTTATTTTAGGTAGAAAATGATTTTTGTTGAAAAAAATTTTCCCTTGATATTCGTAACATTTTTGTTTGAATAAATAAAAATTATATTCAGTAGCTATACTTAATTGTTTTTATAAAAAAATAATATTAATTTTCCTAAAAAGAACTGTGTGCTAATATAACTTAAATACCGTCTCCATTCCTAATTCCATGAAATTCAGAAACAATATATAATCATTCTAAAGCAATTCATACTGTAATATTCAAATATTTCATAAACCAAGGTTTTTATATTTAGTTATCTCAAAATGTAATTTCTGTAGATAAATTAGCAAAAACCGGAAGACGTACTTCGTATCCTGCAGCGCCGCAAGTTTTTGTTAATTTATCACTCACACAGTGACATACTTTTAGTGAAATTTGAGTACAAATAAAAACAAGTAAAAATAAAAATAATTCCTAAAATTTAAAGAGCTAAGGTGACTTCTCCCGTTACAAAGTTTCATCGTTAAATGTTCTTTGAAAAGTGTTTCATACTGTAAATGTGCACTCTAGATGGCGCCAAACATTGATTAAATGCTATAAAGAACGTAGATAGACGTCGACATTTTTGTTGCGTGTAGTGACAGGTAAAACTTTTCTAATAAAGCTGGCTAGCGCTTGACAAGTTTTAGTGCAAAACAAATCTATAGATACTTAGCACATCATTAACTGTGGTAAGGCCACGTAACAGTCTCTGTTGCACGAATGGGCAAGTCCGTCCGGGTAAGTACTACGACCCCACAGAAGACCGTCGTGAAGTGGAACTTAAGTTATGAAGCAGTTATAGTTCTGCGTTTCTGGCGTTGTCTGGCGAGTGAGTTAGCCCGAGCTCGGTATATTAAAAAGTGTCAACGCCTCCGCAACAATAAACGGGTGTTGCCAATGTCAATGGAAGGCGGTGATCACTTAACACCGGGTGAATCGCCAGTTTGTTCGACGCCTCGCGTAAAAAAGACATCCTAAATACGATTCGCAGGTGCTGCGAACGCGGCCGGTGAGCATGGTGGTGCAGTGGAGCGAGGTGCGCACGGCTTGGCAGGACAGCGACTTCATAACGGAGTGCCTGTGTTGGCACAACGTGTACAGGCAGAGGCACGGGGCGCCGCAACTGTACATGGCGCCCGAGGTACAGTTCGCGCAATATGCGCTCGGAAAACACCAATCTAGGTCTTGAGGTATACTCTATATAAAAATATACCGCTTATACTATAGCGGATACTATAGGGATAGCGTTAAAATAGGGATACAAAAGAACATATAAAGGCCCATTTACACGATGCCATTTTCTTTTACATACAAGAGCAATAAATTAAACGCAATAATTGACCATCAAGAATTGTAGACTACTGTTTACACGCAAATAAAACAATTGAATACGATAATTGGATGCAAGTCTTGACAAAAAATAATTGCAAATGTCTTTTGTTTCTACCAAGCGATCCAACTTTTTTTTACCACCTTTTCTCAATATATCTTGCCTCACAAGAACAGCATCGATTAAACATCCTCACTCATCGCACTCATGTTTGCAAAGGAAGAAAGAATGTAATTGAATACAAGAATTGCTTAAAAAACTATTGTGTGTGCTGTTTACACCAAGAAAAGTTTTGAAATAAAACTTGAAGCAAAATTTGTTCACTAGTCAAGAATATTATGTGTTGTTTAGATCATGCAAGTCATTTATTACTTCAATTTAATTGTATACAACAGGCCGGAGACTTCCATCATGTAAAAGGGCATGGTGTACATATATCATTCGTTGCATCTCGTTTTCTCGATGTCTTTCATTTCGTTTCTTCCCCATCTACATTTGTGTTAACACGATGACGTAGGAGCCTCTACCGTTCTCCAGATTCAATTAAATGGATCAAGGCCCTTCGCTCGTCTTAAATACCTCTGCCTCGCTGCAACAGGCATTCCCTGAACATTTTCTACACGCACAGCAATAAAAAACTAAACATAATAATAATAATCTTATTCAGGATTGATCATTCATTGGTAACAATTTTTGCTGAATATCATACGTTAATATTGTTAGCTGTATCTTACAATATTGGCGAAATGTGTCATTTCACTACATAGTATAAAACAAAGTCCGCTGTCTGTCTGTCCCTACATATGCTTAGACCTTTAAAACTACGTAACGGATCTTGAGGTGGTTTTTTTTACTAGACTTACTTTACGTGACTAGTGTGATTCAAAATTCACGGGGCGGGTCGCTAGTATAATGTAAAGCGAAAATTTCATCTCTTTTTACGAACGCTCTTGTTCACATAAACTGAATATTAAAGAATCTCTAAAAAACTCTTCTTTCGATGTTAAACGCGAAGTCGTTAAAAAAAGCCATTGCGCCGTAACCACTTAGCTCGAGGCATAAAAAAGTATACTTTGTAGTTTGGACACACTGCCGCCTAAACGATGTCTATAAAAGAGAGCAGGGTCCTTCAAAGACACTCTTATCGCAGTGATTACGTTGTACATTATTAAAATAATAAGAAGAAACGTATCGACAAAAATGATAACGATAAAATGTTTATTATGACGGACTTCTTAGTGTCATAATGTAAACGTTATAATATTTATTGATTACTTCTATTTACGTTAATCATCCACCATCAGATTTAAATGAGGTTATTTTACGGACTTAATCGCTGATTAATAAAAAATCAGGTTAATTATCATAAAAACATAAAAAAAACTTTAATAGCATATAAATATTAATTTTTAAAATTATACCCTATATCATTGTCTTTACGACGAGTGAGCTTAGTTTTACTAATCTATAAATAGCAACGATTCCATCGTTATCATATAGTTCTACATACAGGATAAAGTTACACAAAAGTTTCACAACTCGTTAGTGAAGCTGAGAGCAATGGACCGTCAATCTAATCGGTATGATGAGCAATTTCTTTAATTTACCCTGACGGTTCCTACTAACTGTAGGTAGCAATATACTCATTCAAAGTAAACAATTGTTAAAATATACAATATTGTCTTAAACTCACTCAACTAATCAAAAATATTTTGGGCTTCAATAAATTTAGAGAACATTTACTTATCATCATTAATGAATATGTTAAAATGATGTCAATATTTGATGGATTACAGGTCGTTAGCAATATTGGTATAAAAACAAATTATGCCGAAAATAACACATGTCGGAAGAATTTTGTGTGGTAAAAACACTAAATAAAAGCTTACGATTTTATTAAAGACCTACTATTTAATTCATCTGGAATCCTGAAGTCAGCTAAACCATGCATATTATCCCTTTTATACATCTAACTTCGGTCACTTCAAACGTTAAATATTTTTTATTTATTCAGATTACGCGAAACGTTTTCAATTAAAGTGCTTAAAATGTTTTTCGGATATCCGTATAAGTAGAAAGCATCTGCACGCCGAGACGAGACGTTCTGAATACGAAATAAGTCACTCAGACAGGGACTTTAGTTTAGACAGCCTCCTTAGCTTTCTCAATTTCATACACTTTAAATTAGAATTGCAATGTTCTTAAAACAAACGGAATGGTGTACGAGTACTGGACAGTGATAAATATTGGCATAAAGGAAAAAGGAAAAATCTTATCATGTATTTATACAAACTGGTAGACGCCCAGTGGTCGAAATTCGACCATAATTAATTTAAATTATAAATTTGAACAATATTATTCTATTCTCAAATACAATACACAATAAACAAAAGAGTATATACGTGAGAAGATGCGTGGGTGTGTGAAATGCTTTCCATATTGATTTAATGTATTTTTTATCCGTAATTAAAAAAAAATAGCATTTTGCACTCCTTCTATATATAAACTACTAGCTGCTGCCCGCGACTACGTCTGCGTAAAGGGGTGAAAATTTAGGGTTGTATGTATTTTTGTATGCTGTGTCATAAAAAAATAGAAAAAAAAAGTTTTATATAAAAAAAAAAAATAGGGGTGGACTACCCCCTTAACATTTAGGGGGACGAAAAATAGATAGTAGCCGATTCTCAGACCTACTGAATACGCATATAAAATTTGGAAAAAATCGGTCGAGCCGTTTTCGAGGAGTTCAACTTCGAACCCCGTGACACGAGAATTTTATATATAAACTATAAGTGTGCGAAATAGCATACACGGAGGAGTATTTTTCAAAAGCGCAATTTTCAAATGGGGTACATAGTTTTTGATTCACGTATTAATATATAGATGTTATTACACATTGTTAAACGAAACTATTTAATATGGCGTATATTTCATTCACCAACCAAGTTTTCATTGTTACAGATCCCTTGTGCAACCTGAAAGATTCACTACAGTAATACCATTCTATGTCTCTGTAAAATCTCAATATACCTCGTCTTCCGTATAATATTCCGTACTTTACGGCGGAATTAAATTTAAATTCATAACCCACCATATAAATAGACTTCAAATTGATTTTAAAAGAAAAATAACTTCCCAAAACCTTCACTGATATCATCTTCATGCCCATATATAGGAATTGGGGTCGGCAGAACATGTTAATCATGTTGTTAGTGGTATTGGCTAGGTTTTTACAACCAGTCTTGCGTCAACCCTCTTTGGGAATAGACGCATAGATCCGGAAGGATTAACTGTGGTTCACACAATTTTTCAACACAAGTGTGGCAATTATACGCTATAAATAGCGTAAAGTTGCCACACCTGTGTTAAACGATTTTTTGTACATTCGTGTGATATCAAATTCAGATCTCACATTAGCCACGATTGTCAGGCCTGGATTGATATAGAGACTTTACAGGCTTCGCGTTTCAGAACTGTCACGTTAGAGATTGATGTAACGTATATACAGGGTGGTTTTTCGTAAGATGCCCAAATTCACACAGGAGATACAGACTCGGTAGTATAATCGTTTATTGAAATAAAAACAAACTTTTCTTTCTAAAAATTTGCCATTTCAAAAAATTGAATTTGTTGACAATGCGGTAGTCATTCATAAATGCGTTGTATACATTTGAAACAAACTTGTGTTAGTGTTAGTTATGAATGATCGCGCGTAAAATAAATGAGTTGCCCATAAATCACGCACCTTTTGAGATAAGTTAAAATGAATGTAATTAATTAATTATGAGTGATTTTAGAATAATTATCATTTTTATATTATGAATTTAATAAAAAAATGGATACACTTAGAAAAGCCTCCCTGTATAACAAACTACTCGTCTTATACTAACGTAGTAAAATTATAACATTGGAAAGGTTTTATGTAATGTTAAATATTTCTTAGTTTACTTTCCTTTTAATTGTTTATAGATAGAGCCTTCGGCTTTTGATAATTGTAGGTTTAATAAAAAATTCCATAAAATATGCTATATTTGTAAATGAAAATCCTTGCAAAGATTGTCTCAATTTTAAACCGATGAAATTCAGAGCAGTCATTTCAATTTCGACAGTCATTAGTGTTCAAGCTCAAAGTCTAAGTCTTTATGCCTTGGACAGAAGCGAAATATATCCTCTTTTTAATGAAGTAAAACTGGTATTTGTGAAGGTAATTGTTCCGTATTTTCGCCCTTTTTCAATAAGCCAATAAGTCAAACGGTTCTTCTTTTCAAGATAATCGTTAAGCACACATTGAAGTATTACTTTACAGCTTTGCGACTACGCTCAGGCGTGGGCCAACCATCTTGCCCACACGAATAAGTTCCACTACAGAAATGATCGCGATGTTGGACAGAATCTCTATCAGCGGCCAGTCAGCGCGTTGCAACCTGACGTCACCGGTAAAGTATCAACCAAAATATACAATGTTTTGTTTATGTTAGAAGTTGGGAAGCGAGCTGGCAGTTCACGTGAAGTTAAGTGATAACCGCCGCCCATTAACATTTGCAACACCCGTAGGGTTGCAGATTCGTCGCCACCTTTTAATAAAGTGGGGTTCGGGTACCTCACTCAACAGACGAAATGCAGTATAACACGTCCACTTGACGACGGTCTTCTGTGAGGTCGTGTTACTTACCCGGACGGACCTGACAATTCGCACAACGTAAAGACTGTTGCGTAACCCTACTAGTTCTAAAAAGACCCAGTGTAGGCCAGTGATTAATTTTAGCAATTTTTCTACTGCTGATCACGCACAACATAAATTGCAATGAACAATTCAATCTGTGCTGGTACCGAGATTCAAACTTTGTTTGTTGTTGTTTCTCGTAAAGGTAAACTAAATTTTAGGGTTACACTGAACTACCACAGCACTCGACATCTTCCGTTCATCATTAAGGTGTCGATAACAATTAAATTATCGACAGTATTTTAGATGTTTATCAAGCACCATGACAAATCTTTCGAAAAAAAATAAAGACCCATTTGCACTAAGACTGCGATATGGGCAATCTCAAACAATGATGTTTAATGATATAGATGACGCATGTACTTACTGCGCAGCGTTTAGAACTTGTTCCGCTTTACATTATATAACATATATAAGTGAATGTTACAGATGATATAGAATGTATGATACGGAAAGAGATAGCAATCTATCTAATTACACCAATTGGTATAATTTGAGTGCCTCAATGTCGGTGCGCCAGTTTCATATCCTTGTATAAGTAATTGTCCAGCTTTAAATAATATATTTGCGCTATATTCATATTATTAATACATACAGGTCAAGAAGTGTCTTCATATTGGTATGCAGCAGTTCGTCAATACCATTTTTTCAAGGAACCAGACGTACTACACGCTAACGTCAACGCAGGTACGAAAATCTGAAGGTTATTCGACGGTATAATTTACCTAGATATTCTTTATGTATTTAATGAAAAATATTGATTTCTTGATTTTACGCGGATATTATACATATTAGTTTCATTTAACGGATTTTATTATTTTTGTAAAGCAGACTTACCTACTTTACAAATAATCATTTTTGAAGGGAAAACTACAATAAAACCTTTATGTTGCAGTAGTCGTTGGGACTTACTAACAGAGAATGTAATCACTACGTTTACTAATACTTACTACATTTACTAATATCCTTACAATTTGATTGAATTTGATGATTGACTTTTGTTTTAATCCATTTGGTCTAAATTATTTTCCCATAGGTTGATTTCTGGCCAGTAATAGAATAGAATAGAATCTTTCCCCGCTTTCTATTTTCATTAACATTACCCTTCCTTTAGGATATTATATTCTGTATTGTAAGGGAGTTTTACAAACATAAACTTCACGCAACACCCAAATGCGAAACAATTATCCGTGGGTCACACAAATAGTTGTCCTGTTTGGGAATCGAACCAACCATCTCCGACGCCTAAGTCAATACCTTGGCAACTTAGCCACGGAGTCTATAAATATCTTCTCTTCAACAGGACACTTCACGCAGATGGTTTGGGTGGCGACCCGGTTTTTCGGCGTGGGCAAAGCGCGCTCAAGGGCGGGCAAGGTCATCGTGGTGGCGAACTACTCTCCGCCGGGCAACTTGTCGGGACAGTTCGAGACGAATGTACTGCCTCCGCTGCCCGACAACCTTCCCGAGCTCGCCCCTCCACCGGTTCACTGACGACAGTTTTCTATACGTGGCAGGAGGCTGAGGATCGACGCCACGTATACTAAGTAACCATCTCGGAGCAGGGCCCGATTTAGAGGTCTGGAGGCGTCGGGCCAACAAACGAGTGGAGGCCCCTTGGCCCCAAATTATTTTCTATTGATTTCTGTTAATATTTAATGTAATCATGTTTGTACAAAGTACTGTAGGTAAAAGTAAAACGCGAAAAAATTAAACGAAAATTTGTTTACTAGTCTGAATTTGAATTCTATTGTGGGGGCCCCTCTTTTGTGGAGGCCGTGAGGCGGGGCAACAACCCCCGGTTGCCCTCCCCTAAATCCGGCCCAGTCTCGGAGTCATTGTATAAAACAACGAAATCGAGCAATTTTGGCGGTATATAAGTCTTATGATAAAAAAGAGAGAAATATTTTTTTTTAAATAGTTATAACTCATCATTAAATGATGTTGTGTAGGCAGCTAAAAAATCTTTATTCACTTTCGATGGTAGAAACTATTAATACGTTGTTACACCTCCTTTTTGTTCGGTTGGATACAGCAGAACAAAATCAATACAAAAAGTTTTATATAAATAAATGATCAATTCACATAGAGTATCAAAAATTGATATAAATAATTGATTAGATAATAAAACATCGACGACTATAATATTTTAAGTCCACTAGCTTTGTGCGTAGATAAATACGTAGAAATATCGGTTGTTTTGCCTGAGCTTAAAATTTTACAAACTATAGTAATACTTGTTAAAGCAATATTGCTATACGCACATTTATATTAACTTTTGAAAATTATAAAATTAAGTCACGTGGGTTATTTAGACGTCCAACCGTTGCAACGGCCTAAATTAACCAGATTTATTTATTATTTATTTTTAAATGCATTCCAATTTATAAAAATAAATATTGTTATTAAAACCATGATTAATCATAGAAAAGTAGGCCTAACTATTTATTTAGTTCTTCCGTTAACATCAAATCAACAATTGTCTTCCTTTAGGGTTGATTATATTAGAGTGTTGTTACATTTATCCCAGTGCTTTAGTATTTTAGTATAGTAATTAAACCTTTATAGCAAAATTTATTTTATACGATGTTGTTTATTACAAATAAAATGTAAGCCTTGATCAAGTCCTATAAGAATTGTACTCATGCAAGAGTAGTACTAATACAAATACATAATTATGTCTGAGCCGTGATAGAAACGCGACAGCTGGTTTTGTGGCATACCAAAATTTTTTACGAATTTTATCTCTCATTTTAATTTAAATACAAATTCCAGATATTTCGGATATTTTATAATTTGTAGCATTCAATATCGAGACGGGCTGAGGACATGTCAATAATAATCTGGATTACCGTTATTTTTTTTTAATGTAATTTATTTTGTTTTTGTATAACTGATGTTACGCTTCCATTCCTTAGACTATTAAGCTTCATCGATCGCAGAACCGGTGGGCTAGCCAGAACCCACGGGTTTGAACTTTGAATTAAATTATATTACTAACACGGAATAGTGTTATTGTTATTTTACTAGCCGAAAGTGGCGGCTATGAAGTCTCCGCCGCCCTAGGCCCCAGCCCATGTAGTAAGTTCCAGCCGCCCCTTTCTCAGCGCCCATCATATATCTTGTTGTCATCAGTGAATTTTTTGTCACGATTGGCCGCCCTAGGCCCGGGCCTATTGAGCCTTAGGGCACATCCGCCACTGTAGCCGATGATCATTAATTCAAATTTAATGTTCGTCAGTGCAGGCTTAATTAATTTTAAGGGCTTGCAATGGGTCTTGATTCCCTTTAAATAATACTGATTACAAGTTTTTAATGTTCTTTATTGTATAAAAGTTTCATATTTTGTGTGCGACTCATAAAAAAGAACGCTGCAAGTTGATCATTTCTCTTCCGAAATTAAAATTAAAGCGATAAAATCCGTAAAATGAGTTGTAATTGAGAAAGGCCATGTTTCTTGTTCTAATGGATTGGTCGTTATGTAATAATACTTTCATAATGTTTTATTTCATACAAGTTACTACGGCTTACGTACCTATTACCTACGTACTTAAGACAAGGTTAGGTTAGTGTGATAGAGAAAACAAAACTGTTTATATATTAACTGTAGATATATTTAAAATGTTTTGTTGTTTTTTTTTTATTAAAAAGTGTACGATGAAAAGTTAAATATCGCCATCATTAATTATCTTATTATTTATATACTTACCACTAAATTTATCACTGCATCTTAGGCTTATTGTTTAATAAGTTAGTTTTAATATGATCACCCATATATGTATGAATTGTAAATGGTTGTGAACAAACATAAGAATAAACAGCACATGCCGAGTCGAGCTATTAATTTGTCTATTCTGACGAAAGTTATAAACATCGCTTTACTTAGGTATTTAGTACAACGTTTTGATGGGTACCTTAAGCAGTTTGTAACAATGTTGGAATAGTTTGTGAATTTGCATTTTTTATTGTTATGTTCATAACATTTTTTATTGTTATGTTGCAAATGTTCATAACATTTGCAACAAGATTCCCAGTTCGTAATGGTTGGGAAATACCACATGCGACAGTTGATTTCACAGAGTGGTTGTGTTAATTGCTAATTCAATTACGTAGTAGTTCAAATAAAAATAATTTAAATTGCATTATTTTTAAATGATTCCACTATCTAGACGGGGGACTGTGTGATAGTTGTCTATTATAATAGTAGGTAATTGCGTTTATTAAATGATATAATATGAGTTTGAATTGTAAATAAAAATAAGCCATCACGTTAATAAGTAATCGAAGAAAAAAGTACTGTTCGTTTTAACTGTTATCTAGATTTATAGTTAACTATGTAAGTTATTCCAAACCTACTCTTCTTCATTAACGGAGTTACCTACCTACTTATTTCAACTCCTGTTTGTAAACAACATTTTCTCTGCACAGTGATATGGTATTTCATTAATGATTTTCGAGCTTGTAATGTTAACATTAAAATGATTCGTTAATAAAAAATAGAATTTTTAGAAACCATAAGATGTCTACAAGCCTAAAAAAGCGAGAGAATTTAGATTTAGTCTGAAAAGAAAAGCTACATAAAAATTAAAAAAAACTTGTCACATTGAGTAAATCTTTTAAAGCTTGGTAAACTTATTGTATTACAAATCAAAAGTTTTATTTAAAACATTAAAATAGTTTTTTTTTTATGTTAAGTACCGTATGGTATGTCGTCATCATAACAAATTACTAGTACTTATTATGATTTGTTGAATATACATTTCTCTATTCTTTAGACCAGTGTTTCCCAACGTGGGGCCCACGCCCCATAGAGGCAATTTGATTTTTAAGGGGGGTAATTCAAAAATGGACTCGACACGGGTTTAATCCTTTCGCTCCGGGCCATTTAAAATCATAATGCAATCAAATCATAATGAAATCAATATTTCGACTTTTTTCTTCCTAAAGCCTATCATTTAAGTTTCTTAAGTGAACAATATAATTATTTAATATTAAAAATTATGTAGCTCAGTGTGCCGGCGCTCGCCTTTAGTTTAATATACTCGAGCAACCTGAGTTCGACTTTAAGTGCTGAATTATCACATGCTCAGCGGTGAAGGAAAACATCGTGAAGAAACCCGCATATTTTCCAAATAATAACAAAAACGATAATGCATGGTACAAAAAGGTTGGAACAATGCTTTCTACGGTCACGAAACAATGGATAACTGAATTACTTCTGAATTTCAAAAATTTTCTTGTGCCAACTTTTATACTTAATTTGTATTAATAACTTCATTACAACAAATAGTTCAGCCTAGTAAGGTTAATTTTGTAATAAGAATATGAAAATATAATAATAACTACATAAACAATACCCCATTTGGTTTAAAAATTACACATTTTTAATGAAATACATAGATATGATACACATATGTATGCTTCCTATAAATAAAGCCAGTCTGAGGCAGTGTAGCACTTATTAAATCCGCCTGTAGATGTTGTTGTATTTAAGTATACCATATTCAATAAGGCAGTTTGTTCTTGATATATATAAAGTTGAATCAATTAACTTTATTAAAAACAAATTATTCCAAAATGACATGAATATATTCGAATATTAATTAGGTATAAAAATGTTACTGAAAATCATAAATATAATTTTAATTGCTTCTTTAATCAGAATTGCTATTGTTGTTATAGCTAGTAAAAAGATTGCACTTTATTATTAATGATTTAACCAATGGCTGTGAATTGTTAACCATTATAATAGAGCAAATGTAGCCTGCTTGTATTTTAGTTAAATAAAGAATATCAAAAAAGATTTTTTTTCAGCGTTTGTTTACTTTATTTATTCCCAAATACACACTTTATAAGTGAAAAGGAAATGATTTTTTGATATCATCAAAAGCATCTCACATGGATTTGGATTTAACATTATAATGATTATAAAGAATTTATATGTTTGAGCATCCTTTAATATACTAATCTGATTTAAAAGATTGGTTTTAGTGTTCCATACCTTAAAAGGTAAAAAAAGGCATCCTCATAAGATTACTCTCTTGTCGATCTGTTTGTCTGTGTGTCACCACCAATTTTCTCAGGAACGGGATGACCCACTAAGTTGAAATTTATACTAGAGAGAGATACTGAGGGCTATATCTTTTTACAGTGTTGACTCAGAACCTTGATTTTTATACAACTAATAGAGACTATAGAACTAAAAATATAGGTGATTATTTACCAATGTTATTATGGCAATATAATGGGTAGGTACAGAACCCTCGGCGTACGAGTTCAACTCGCACCTGACAGATTTTTTGTTTTGCCTGGTCATTTCAAAAACCTCTTAAGTCACATTTTTTCAACACGTTTTTTTGAAAATAATTTATTTAAGGTAGATGCATATTCTGGGTAAAAACTTCCTTCTTTCTTCAACTTCAAATAATACCGCGTAAAAAACGTCAGTTCACCTAGGTTTTTGCATGCCTAGCGCCATGAAGTGTCCATCAATAAAAAATTAGACAATAAGCTTATATTTATTATATATTATGACTTTAAAGCAAGTTCAAGATAGCATTCTGGAAAAGCATATAGTAGTTTATAACAACATTTTTATTTCTAGCACACTGCAAATGTTGAGGATAATCTCGATGAGAATATAGAATATGGTTATATACCTTAAAGATATTAAAACATTACAAATTAATACATGTAATTATCCTATTTTTAAGGTTCCATTAGAAAAAGGTAAATGGGACCCTATTACTAAGACTCTGTTGTCTGTCTGTCTGTCACTGGGCTGTATCCCATGAACCATGATAGTCACAGTTGAAATTTATTTTATAGCAACAAATACTAAACAACAAAATTAAAATATTTAAGTGGGTTTCTCATACAACAGATATGTTTTTTTTGCTGTTTTTATAGATAATGGTACAAAACCTTTCTCATGCGAGTCCAACTCACAGTTGGCCGGTTTTTTGCTAAAACAACATAGGTCAAGAACAGGTTTTCCTTCAACAAACCTTCCTTTCCCTTAAAACTTGTTTGTTTGTGCATGAAATAGTTTTTATTGATTGCTGAAAAACTAATTTGTTGAGGTAAAAGGTTTTTTTAAATAACCAATTCAATTGTATATTTTTTTGCTTTAGCATAACCATACAATCAAAACTACATTAGTTTTTCAATTTTATTTTATGAGTTTCTTCTTATACATACAACAGTAAAATTGAATACATTTACTCTGTCCACCTATGTTTACAACTTGTGCACACATAATATAGCCTCATCTCCTCTTCCGCGCGTCGTGTCTGTCCTTGAAAGAAAACAGCTTCTCTGTGATTGCATTTGGGACACATATGATCTTTCGTGCGCGGTAAAGTCGGGTCACTAACGACGTCGGGATTGATATGGGTTAATTCGTCAACTTCGTGCATAATTTTGTTAACGTAAACACAATTGGAATCAGCCAATTGCTTATAGTCACAGTTTCTACAGGCATATAGCAGAACTTTATTGTTTTTATCTTCTCGCGGGTAAAGCATGTTATTACACTCTTGGCAAAACTGAATACCGACATAACCTGGTCCACCGTCTTTTCTTCCCAAACTCATAGCCATTGTGTGAGTTGGTCAGTGTTTTACTTGAAATTTATTTTAAAAATGACAATTTGCAAATATTTAGCCGACTAGGCGATAAAGTAATTAACATAAAAATTTAAATAAAAAGAAAAATGTAATTGTAATAACATAACAATGAATATCAAAAGCAAAACATCAATGATCAAATCAAATCGTCAGTCAAGTCAATGTCAAACGTTGATTTGACAATGTCAAGTCATAACGTCATTTTTTTTTAATTTTAACTTGTGTTTGTGCTGGTATGGGATGGAAACAATTCAATATGATCTCCATAGATGCTATATAGTGCTATTCTCTGCACTTAAGATTGAACATTAAAATTTGTAGAAAAAGTACGAAAAGATTGAAATTGTTTGTATGCTGGAAAGGATATAAAGGATGTAAATAAAAGACATTAAGATTTTCGTCAGTGTGGCAATCAGCCGTTTAGCTCAGTGGCTAGAGCGTCAGGCCGCGAATGCCGAAGACGTGGGATCGATTCCCACAGCGGTGACAATCTTATCGTACTTTTTCTACAAATTTTAATCTCCATAATCTTCTTTGGGTTTACCTCGATCCGCTACGTTCTGAACTATTTGTCTTCTATTCATTTATCTGGGCAGGTGCTGCTAAATATATACCTAATGCTACGAAATACGGAAAAGAAATGTGGAAAATGCATACCTTAGCTATACAAAAGATAAGTATAAAATTGGATGTTTTATAGCTTTACGTTCATCCACCGAGCTACTCTCCGAGGTATAGAGCCACTCTCCGAAAATGTAGTTGGCAAATTGCTTGCAGCATCTCTGGTTTTGTATGTGTGAGTGGACCTCCTTTATATCCTGCAAATGACTTGCTCAGATATCTTTACTTCTTGAAATATTAAACGAGGATGAACACCCTTATGAATAATCACCTACAAATCATATAAATATCTTACTTGCATGTAATCGGACTCAAGGCCAGCGGTCGGACAGCGTTGTTGTCCTCTACCTCGAGATCTTTTCCTCTCATCTTTGCCTAACATAAGCTTTTTTCCAAATTTTCTGGGCCTCTTCTAATTTTTATACATATTTCATATTCATCTTAAATAATTTAAACCATTTATTACAGTGAGAACTATTAGAATTAAAAAAACAACGTTTTAAATTATTATTAAAACAGCATTAATCTCTCACATTTTTTAAATTGCAATCAATATCATTTTTTATGGTTAAACTATTCATATAAAATATTTTTCATTCAACATGTAATCAAAGGTCATCCCTCATATAAATTTATTGAAAATGTTTTCGATAAATTAATATTTCTGTACTTGATTTTTTGTGAAGTGCGTGAAAAATTAAATTGAGCCATTTTTTTTTTTACTTTTAAATGGCAATAAAATTTTATATCTTTATGTTGGCAGCAATGAAGAAATGAAAGCGGTGGTTGGTTACGCGCCTGATTATTTCTTTTCCCATCCGTAGCCGATTGCTGTCGTGCTATCCAAATGGGTAAGGAGTAGTTTTGTTGTGATATTATTGCAGTTTATTTATAATTTTAATATTATATTGTGTTAATAAGTGCTATATCAAAACCTTGATATGTGAAAGTGTATAATATTGTTAATTATCTTTTAATTCAACTGTATATAGTTCCGAGATATCTGTGTGCTTAGGTGTCGGCCATGGCGCAGACATGTTTTTCTCGTGGTGTTTTGATAAATCTATTTCCATCATATAGAGTTTACACACATCACGAGGTACAGATAAAGATTCTCAGTTATAAAAGCGGACTCCAAATTGTGGTGTATCGATTTCAAATTTTTGTGTGAACATTAGTTATAACCGGCGATTTGAAATTTCAGGTAAACCCCGTGGTATTCGTACCGCGCGGAAGCACGTGAACCATCGACGCGAACAACGATGGGCAGATAAAGATTACAAAAAGGCTCACATGGGCACGAGATGGAAGGCTAATCCCTTCGGTGGTGCATCTCACGCTAAGGGCATCGTCCTCGAAAAAGTGTAAGTTCGTTTCTTGACCGTAGTTTGTATGCGACAGTGTTAAATAGTGTGTTGTATTAACGCTTTGAATGCTCATGAGTAGCAGCGAAGTTATGTGTACACATGCGTGTGTGAAGTGCAAGAAAGTGTGCCGAGCGGATTGGAAACTTGCATTCGAAGAGGACGCGTCCATACGCGGTATTATGCCTGTGAATGTGTTCCTTGTACAATCACAGGATAATACTGCGAGTGGCCGCGTAGCATTACGCCAGAGAAGATTTAAAGATTCATCAGCAGCGCACGCCGGGGTCAACGAACTCTACACGAGGAGACTACTACATGTCAAACAGTTATTTGTATGTGTACCAAGAAAGGAAATGTCAAAATGATTCTTCTTTTAAAATAGTTTACTTATCAAAATAAGGACTAATACGTTTTATATGCTGTGATCAGAAACAACTTAATTCTGTCCATGGATTTTAAGAATATTCTTTTTTTATTTTAGTAATTCCCCACATCTTAATTAATTTAGAAAATATGTTGGCAAATGCAATAGTTTCTGAAATATTTGCTGAACAAAATTTTTATTTGCTAAAAGTGTAAAATGAATATGGAACACAGGTAACAAGTAGCATTGGAGTTCAAAAGTTTTCTAACTAATAGTAGTAGTGTAATCTAGGTAATAATTTACTCCAAGCTTAGAACACTTGCTAATTGCAAGTAGGTACTACATTCAAAGTTCGCTAGAAAATGTAGTGAAAATGTGTTATATTTCTACAGTGTGTTTGTCCTGTTATATTTATTATATTTCATTATTTTAATACCAGCTAGTTATTTACATCTGTTTTGTGTATTATTGATATGTATCTTATACCTTGTGACTAGGATTGTATTAACAAATGTCCATTATTCTGTATTTCATGTTTGGGTGTCTGTTTATCATTTTATGTTTATGTTTTGGATAGAAGTTTGATGTGTAAAAAAAATAGTTTAAATGTACTATTTACTGTTTATAAATATTTTCCAAAAGCAAATGTACATTAATGTCATTTCCCTGCAGTGGTGTAGAAGCCAAGCAGCCTAACTCTGCTATCCGCAAGTGTGTCAGAGTGCAGCTGATTAAGAACGGCAAAAAGGTGACGGCGTTCGTGCCACGCGACGGTTGCCTCAACCACATTGAAGAGAACGATGAAGTACTAGTAGCAGGTTTCGGTCGTAAGGGTCATGCCGTCGGTGACATTCCTGGAGTCAGGTTTAAGGTAGGTTTTACATAATGGCAGTTAAATTTTCCATAAGATTTTATAACTGGTGATATTATATATTGAAATAAGCATCATTATTTTAAAAGTGGCTTGTCAATTAACATATAATAATTTCATTGAAGCTGGTAACCCATTTTGCCATTAGGCATACAGATTATCTCTGATATTACTATTTTATTCTGTATCACCTGGATATATTAATTGATTGTTTTAACCATAGATCAATGTACTAATGATGATCAGCATGTTTAAATCCGGAGTATTTGCTACTCTGACAGCCATGATGTGCAAGCTGCACTGACTTAGTACATTTTTTGTGACCCAGTTATTCATTCCTAAAAGTTCTTTGTAGTTACTGAATATTTTGTTTCTCCGTTTCAGGTGGTGAAGGTCGCCAATGTCTCTCTCCTCGCCCTGTACAAAGAGAAGAAAGAGAGGCCACGATCATAGGTCCTGCTACATTGTGATAAGGTAAAATTATGCCTCTATATGTTTCTCAAGTTTGCCTTCTTAGCTTGCATTAAGGGTTATTAAAAACCAAATCAATGTCTTTAATTGAACCTTTACTATTTGTAATTATTTTAAATTACCTATTTGTAATTTTAATGAGAATCTTAATATGGCAATATGCACAGTTGATGGCAAGGATAAATTAAAACTTTTAGTTTATGCAAATATTAATAACAATATCACAAATGATGCAACAAACAATTATTTGCTACTGCTGAATGCCATGACGTGAAATGTTTACTGATCTTTAACTTTATGATATGTAGATTAAGGTGTCACATGGAGTAGTCTAAATAAATTATTTGTTTGTTTCAGTGCTGCTACGAAGCGGTGTTGTTCATAAGAGTCATTAAAAAAATGTAAAATCAAGTACATAATAAAATATGTATGCCAAACCTGTTTTTTTTTTGTACCAAAACCAAATGTAACATTATAAATATTGATTTGAAAAGCTGTTGATTTTTTACAATATTGTAAAAGTGAACAATTATCCAATTTGATTTGTGCAATAACAAGTAGTGTGCATTACAATAGTTCTTATAGTGGCATTCTAACATAAAAAGCAATTCCGCCTTAGTTATTACTCATTGAAATATTGTGTTATACGCAATTTTATTAATCCGAAAATAAGATTACCTATTAAAGAATTAAAAAATGTGTTACATGTCCCACTGCGGATTGGCGGACTTCACATATCTTCGAAATATATTTTTTTTATTGTTATTATTCCGAAAATCCGGCACCGGGATCGAACTCAAGTTGCTCGAGTATATTGAATTAAAGGCGAGCGCCCGGACGCTGAGCTATCACGGCTCCAATCCACAAAAATGTGTTAATAGATTGTAAAAAAGCGCTACTGTCCAGTTAGCCAGGTGCAATTGTTGAATATGACTCGCGCACTATGTTATGTCGTCCTACGAGTTTCTGGCTCCGCCTTGGTTTTATGGTCAACAGGCGTGTAGGGAACACAAGACCAAAGAATTGGAGTGCTCTGTGTCAGATCTGTGACTCACTTAACCTAACCTAAGCCACTAATAACCTAGCTCCGACAAGGCTCCTCGATATATACAAACTTTGCGCCCAGCTGCGCGGCTATCCATTATTTAAGCTGATTTACGGGTTGACCATGTCTTATTTTTCTTGAAAGTTCTCCCCAGTCTTGGTAAGCTCTTATGTTCAAATCATAAAAATGCACAAAGTTAAAATTATACTTTGAAATAGTGCGGGCAAGGAAGTCTTTTTGCTAAGGCAAGTATTTACTCAGCTATTTAAATAACATTAGAGCACTCAAAATTTGTAGAAAAAAGTACGAAGTTTTTTGTCGCTGTGGTAAATGAACCCACGTCTTCGGCCCAGACGCTTTTACCACAAACCTGAATGGTTCATTGCCGCACCAACGAAAATCTCAACGTCTTTTATCTACATTGTTTTTTCGGATTGAAGCAATGCTTGCAGCATCCATGGTTGTATCCTTTACAGAATACAAACAATATCGTTTTACAACGATAATTCGAACGAGACACGTTGACATGTCTCGTTCGAATTATACTATTAGTTGCTATTAGAATTTTTTATAGTGCTAATTTTTTATTTCAATAACATCTAGCCGTGGAATATTTTAACATATACTATATTGCCCAGGTAGATGAAATCCAATTTTTCTTGTAAACTATAGCGGTATAGAATTATAATAATATTATATTTTAACTTGCCACCAGTGGCAATATATTCATCTTTTAATTTTTTTTATAAATTATTCTTTTCTATGTAAATAAGCAAAATTATACCCCAATTTACGCGAATTAGAATTTTATGCCATTTAGCAATAATTAATATAAGCATTCATTATTGCTACATGGCATGATATTAATGTATTCATTATTACTTCGATTGCTGTGGAAATAAATTCTAATTAATGTGCGCTTTTCGCAGAGCGGAGAGACAGACAAAAGCACCTCAACCTAATATAGTTAAAATCAATAAAAAACTTTGAACTAATCAATCCAGAGAGTTTAACAATCCTTTTGGCAACTCGACAAACGATTCAAAAGCCATTTGACAGCTGATTAGTTAACTTCTACGAAGATCAGTGTTTCAGAAACCGGGCGTTAGACTCATTATAAAAATGATAATAAACAGACATTAGTTATACATCGTTACCTATCAATAACAAAATTAGGTATAAAATACATTTATCTTCGCAGAAACCGAATTAATGACCAGGATTCCCTGACACGTTTGCCCATAGCTCGTCGCCAGTAATCGTAGTATATTTTCATTAAAAAAAATGGTGTGAATAAAAACAACGGTATAACCATTGATTACTTTATTGGTAATATATTCAATTGATCGATTACAATTAGAGAGTAACTACTTGGATATCGTAAATATATACGCGCGAGGCACGATTGTGAACGCGCATTGTGTAGATTGGACCATGATCCAAGAGTTCGGTTAATTTAATTTTGGTTAGCGTTGTATTGTTTACATAATATATATATATATATATATATATATGTAATAATAAATACAAAGAAACTAGAATGTGTTCCATGCAGTTGAATGATGAAATCTTGAAAATTGGGGTATACGGTATTACTGATGTGATTTAATTTGACTTCTAAAACATTATACTGGTTAACAATGCAATATATATATACGAGGATCCCGACTTTGTTACTATTGATCAATATCACATTCTGGTTTCTTTGCTACGAGACTTGCTTATGAACAAAAGCGAATGCAAATGAAACCGGTGCTTAAACCTACAATAACTTAGGGCATTAAAATGAAAAATAAAAAACTATTTGCAACGTAATCAATATTAATATCAGTCCTTATGTGCGCAATCTATTCGATTTAGAAAAGGTTGGCTCGAGTCATGACCTTAAGAACAACGGAATGTACAAGAAATAATGTACAAGTGGACATGAAGTTTTCGATATTAGTACTTATTCCCATAACCCACTAAACAGCACACACTTGGAGATGTCAGTTAGCAGTTAACCAACATCATAAATTTTTTTAGTCGTGTGGCATCTAAGTCTTAATAAAGACTACATTTCGGAAAATATAAAAAAAAAATACGTGTAACAAACATGGTTGTGAGAGATTAGTAAAAACTAAACATAATCTTATGTTATTAATTTTGTATCACGTCGCGCTAGACGGACAATTTTGATCACATTCCACTTGGACGAAAGAATTGAAACCGGCATGACTTGACTCAACCTCGACGCACCGTTTGCCATTCACATACAAGAATTCGAGACTGGGAAGGAAAGAAATGACGCATATGCAACAGTAGGTACTAATACCTAACATCCAGTGAACGCAAATAAACATGAAGCGTCATTGTCGCTCCAAAATGACATAACGAAAAACTATACCGTGACGGCGCGGGGCGGTTATAGGGATGTAGACTTTTACACCCGGTTTCTGAAACACTGATCATCGTAGATGTCAAGTAATCAGCTGTCAAATGGATTTCAAACTTTTTTTTTTCAAACCACTAGCATCTACGATGATCAGTGATCAGGAACCGGGCGTTAGTCGAACTAATAAATAAGTTCATTATTGCTTAACGGCGCGTGATAACTTTCAGTGAGAGTTGTGGTTCCATTTATTTTTTATGTATTAGTTGTTGTTTTTTTTTTAACTTTATTGTCACAATATTGTAAATGTTGTAGACACCTGTTATATGTGTCCATATTAGATCCGGTTTTTTGTTTTTTTCTTTTTTGCAAATTGTGTAAATAATTATACTGTTGGTGTCTACAACAATAATAATTAAAAAAAAAAAACAATTACTTGTTTGAACTTGCGGCGTCCATGTTTTATTAGCGTTCACTGCTGACATCATACGAATAAAAATGGCACGCCCTGTTTCTAGATACTACGACTTCCGTATACTCATTACATTATGTTACCGTTATGTTTCACTTAAACTAGGCCAACATTGATCAGACACAGCGTTACACTTATAAGAAAAGCGAACGAAACAATTTACACTTTTTTACAATGAAATAAATATTATCATAATTATTATAATAAGCTTTCTGCTGACAGTTTGTGCAAAGAACGCGTTTATAGCACTTTAGTTTGCTTGAAAAAGACAGCCACAAATTAATTACTTATTTATAGTACACTTATCGAATAGTAATGTAGACATTATCATTAAGTTTTCTTTAAAAATGGCAGTTACGAATAAAAATCTCAATTTTACTCCATCGTTTCTCGTAAAATCGTGTTCTAATTTCTTCAACATTTTTTTTTCATCAAATTTATATGGGATTGTAACATTTATAGACGTCTTAAAATAGGGATGACTGAAAGTATAGGCCCGTGTTTTGTATATGATGGAATTAATCGGGTAATGTGAAAAACGATTTGCTTTTTAATGAATGACATCCCCGCTATAAAGGACTATCCCAGCAAATTTCAATATACCTATTAACAAAAATGTCCCATTAAGATGAAATAAAAAAAATACAGTTGAATTGAAAACCTCCTCCTTTTTTGAAATCGGTTAAAACCAGTTCACTCCTATTGATTTAAAAAATACTACATTCCACCCGTGTATTATTATGAAAGTGCTATTCCAGTCTGGTTTTTTAATAACCTTAATTTGCTTTCAATGTTCTATTGGATTTGTACAAATTATGGAAATAACGGAGTATCGTTTTAAGTATCTCCTTTGATGTAGTAACAATATTTTAGTGTGTTATTTGTATGCGATAAGATGATTTGTATGTGAACTTATAATATATTAAACAATAATAATAAACTAAACATTTACAAAATGTTTAAAAGCCCTCTATCACTTACGCCACGCGAAAGATTAAAATCCTTACATACACTTTAACCTTAGTATCACACTTTCCGCTGCTTTATCCAAAAATACATACCCACCACCTCATATGGCAGTGCCTTCTCTAAAATCACAGTCCACATGTGACGAGCCCCCTAGGTTACAAATGCGAGACGATTTGATGGTTAGTCTATTTCACAGTGTATGTCAAATTACAATATCGAGAATAAATACGGATAATATATTACTTTTATTTCACTTAATACATTACGGTTACCGGGTGAACATTGGAGTGAAAAATACTCTTCATGGGATATAATGAGCGAAGATTATCTGTATACGTATTTTGAACTTAAGACACGATAATTACATGTTACAACATCGATATGAGGTTACACAATAATTGATAGTTAGATCTTAACGCTACGGTACAAGAATATAGTATAAATAACATCTAAAATCGTATCGTTCAACGAACCTTTCGGAAAGTGCTGCCTCTGACACTGTTTTCGTTTTCGATATCGTCCTAATGACAATTATTGTTTTAATAAACGTATTGTTACACAGCCGCAGTCGTGTGCTCAATTTTTTATTCGCTTTGGCACTAAAAACGCAGGTGACGGGCTGGCGCGTTCGTTGCATCGAATGTTGGCGAGCTTCGGTTGACTGGTATGACGCAACGCCTGCTTTCATTTTCGACACGGACCGTAAATAGGCTAAAGCATAGCTGCAGCACGCAGAAGACACGAGCAAAGAACAAAGCGAAACGACAATGAGTGCAGTGTTAAAAAGGCCGCCAAAACTACCTTACCCTACCGTCAACTAATATTATTTCGCACGAAATATCTAGTCTAGTAGGTAGTCGATAGTCAACATCACAATGAAATTAAATTATTACCCTGCAAGACTTATTTCTAATTAAAGATTTTAGATCGTACATTTCTAAAGAAATGAAATGGCCGTCGGGCCTTTGCCTTACATTCAATGGAGAAAGAGAGTGAATTTCGAATGACAACGGTCGTGTATGATTGAAAGAAACATTTGACACGACTGCGGCTGTGCGATTTGTTGAATAAATATTACACACATAGCTTAAACGTTGCTAAATTCTATAAGTCGAATGCGACCTTAAATAGTAAACGATAAGGTACAATGTTAAAGTTTCTTCAAAACCGCCAAATACTGCAACATCGAACAAAACCTGGCGCGATCGGAAACGATTTTTTTTCAACGCGCCGTCACTCCAATCTGGAATTGTCTATGCCCCTACAGCATAGAACAAAACAGAATCCCCCAATATATAGACATAAAAAGTTTAAACCCAATTTACGGGTGCGACACTCGAAGGATCAAGTTAGGAAGTTCGTAGCGATAGAGCGTATTTAGTATAATCGAATGCTGGCAGGATAGGATAGAAAAAACTACAAGCGTCTTTATGGTAATGGCACCAAAGTCAGGGGCTCCCAAAGTGTGCGCCGAAAGGCACTTGTGTTGCTTCACATATTGTTTTAATGTCTATTCTCGATGGCCTTAGATGTTCTGTGTAACTTTAGTGCAGTTACACGGGTTTGCCCTTCCGCCTGGATCCTGAGGTGCCGCTGTGCCGGTGGCCAGAGACCTCTCGCTGCGCCGGCTGGGACTTGGTGGTGGGGCGTTGGCGGTGGGAATGGGAATGAGGATGGGAGTGGGAGTGGGGTTGAGCAGGTGCTTGGGAATGTGTGTGCGAATGGGAATGGGGGCGGGATTGAGATTGAGGTTGGGCTTGAGCTTGGGAATGGGTGTGAGAATGGGAATGGGGGCGCGATTGAGATTGGCAGTGGGGTGATTGAGTATAGGAGTGGCTTTCGAATACGGAGTGCCAGTGGGGCTCGCCTAGGAAATGACGGCGCGTGTGGCAATGGGGGCGCGAGTGGGTCGAATGGGGGTGCGAATGGGGGTGGGCGTGGCGGCGCGAGGGGTGCGCGGCCAGGCGGACGCTTCGGCGCTAGGAGTCGCCGGGGTAGTCCATCGTTTTGATGTAGGCGACGGCGGCGCAGAACTGCGTCCACCAGTAGAGCGCCTCCCCGCTGAGGGCGGAGCCCCCGAGAGCGTTCACCAGCTCGATGGTGGACAGCAGCGATGGCGGGTTCACCTGCGGTAAACGCGTTCGATCCGGATTTAAAGTCGAAGTGACTTTATTAAATTTAGGAATCGTTCAAACTTCGAAGCGATTGGCTACAGCGTCGAATGTCATATGTTCAACGCACAATTAGCGCCGACTATTTTTACAGCTTTCATATCAATAGCTCCTTGAGCTATCGATCGTGCAGTCGATATTTGAATCCCGAACTGTCACCCCCGCCTATGACATTTGTCCGAATGAAATAACAAGTATAATTTTTAACAAAAAGAAACAGACTTCAATCAGAAAAAACATTGTTAATGCCTATAACATTCAATGATGGCCCTCGATTTTTCTACGATGCCATCATCAGATCCGGGTTTCCTTATCATGGTACTACCTTTGGGATATCTCCTTGCCGACAAAAAAAGAATCATCAAAATCGGTTCATAAACGACGAAGTTATCCGCGAACACACATAAAAAAAAGAAAAATATATACGGTCGAATTGAGAAACCTCCTCCTTTTTTGAAGTCGGTTAAAAAAGCGCCCAACGTTGTTCAAACTCGGCTCGATTCTCATATGAAATTCATTACCACCAACTGTCCACATCAGATGAGGAGACACCTAAGAGCTGTGGTCAAGTAAACATTTAATATTTTAAAAGACTATACGAGCAAGATATGAATGTGGTTGGTTACCTTGAGTATGACGTAGACCAGAACGGGGGTGAGGTCGTCGGCGGAGGGGGCGCTGCCATCCGTCAGCGCCAGCACGGACATTATGGACGACACGCACCGCATTATGCACAACACCTATGACGTCAAAGCGATGTGGTTAGTTTAATGTTATATTTTGTGTGCAAACAATAATAAAGGTGAGTGTAAAATATAAATTGTGTTCGATAAAGAAACGATGCCATGTTTTGTTAACAAATAAAAGAAAAATTTCGAATAGCTAAAAATAAATCGTTTAAAATAAACAAACGACACTAATCCGATCTGTTGAAATCATGAGGTGTAAATAAATAGATAGATATACCGACGATCTTCAATACACACCGAGTCAGATTCAAAATAGCGAGTTATATTCTAATTTTAATTCAAATGTCGATATCCGCTCTTAAGACTTTCTGGTGAGCTAGCGCCGACGTCGACGTTATATCACGCGATGTTTTTGGTGTGGTACAAATAATTTTCAGACAGCCGCGAGCAAAAGGGTTATATACATTTCTGCAAAAATGAAATTCTTCAATCTCAATTTGGTAAGTTTCGCGCGACCTATAAGTCCTATAACCATCAGTGTACAGTTGCGACCGACGTGTTGTATATTTTTAACATTTTGCTGAAATTATATTAAGAGAAAACAAGCATTTAATTTTACACACGACTGTACATATTCCGATCAAGCGTTAGCGAAGGCAAATTCACTAGGGCGCGTTTTACTACTACTAAACACTTGACTAGTGCAAAAAGAAGGAAGAGGCGTCAACTCGATCGTCGGGACTTACTACCCGACCTCTTCCGCATGAAATGCAATATAATATTTTCTTTCTTTCTTTTCTTTCTTTCTTTCTTTCCTTTCTTTCCTTCACTGCGTACCTTGTCGCGCGGGGTGCGGTAGACGGGCAGGTGGCGCAGCTGCGTCTGCGCGTGGGGGTAGGGCGCCGCCCACAGGTGGCGCGGGGCGACGCCGGCGCGCAGCGCGCTAGTGCACGCCGCCAGGCGGCGCATGTGCTCGCTCAGCACCCTGCGCGCGGAACAGCGCGTTACACACACACAGTGACTGTCAGTTGTAGACTATTAACACTACATGATTAATTTATTAATTATGTAGTGTTGAAAGTAAACAAAGGGCGGTCCATTTACATATGCACTGAGGGCGATTGTTAGACTGTCAAGTGAGATGACGTAGTGTAGAGTCACGCGTCATAGCCGGACAATATGGGAGCCGATATTAGGCGAAAACATTTCCCGGGGGATGGTGCGCCCCTCGAGACAATGCCCGGGGCATGGGGTTCTAGGCCCCGATAGGTAGGTACGGGTCTACCCGACTGCTAGGGCAGTGTGTGGACGACCCGTGTGTGTGTGTGCGCGGAACGGAACTAAGGGACGGCCGCTTGTAATAGCCTCACAAATGTATTAAGGGAGGAACGTGTACAAATAGAGGATGGGGGATGTATTAGCTTCCAATTTTGTGGTACTAGGTACTTGTGGTAAATGGAAGAGAACAAAAACGTCAGCGTTTCGCCTGGTGAGTGCGGAAGCCGGGGTCCACTTTATAAATATAGAAGTTGATTAAACTTGCTTATTGATTATCAAAAAAGACTACTACCGGTTCGGGAAACAATCCACTGACCTGAGAAGAACCGGCGAAACAAACTCAGTGCGGCAATTTTTTTTGCAAAACTCAGTGGGGCATTTTTTTTTTTTGAATTTAGCAACCGATTCGTTTTGAACGTTTTTTTGGGATTTCGTTGTTAAACCGTATACGTTTTCAAAAGATCGACGCATCTGCAAACCCTCGGGTGCAGCGGATGCCCATGGGCGGCGGTATTCACTGACATCAGGTGAACTTTTCACATTCAAAAAAAAAAACTGTCCCACAAAGGATTAACTCATCCCGCGGCTATGGAGCCGGCGGTCGGGTGTCGCTTACTGGTCCCGCGCGATGTCGCCATCGCCGTTGGGGAACAGCACGTGGAGGTAGAGGCGGGCGAAGGCGGCGCGCTCCACCGTCAGCTCGGCGCACTCGAGCAGTGTCTGCGTGGCGCCTGCGGGACGGAATCGCGTTAAAAGCTAATTTTAATGCCGATTTATGTGGATACTTCCTTGGATGGCTCAGCGACCCAAGGAGGATCTTGGCCCCCGAAACGACAAGACGCCACTGCTCTCTATTCTGGGCTGTTTCTTGCCAATATGTAGATATTTATGTAGATAAACGATCAAAAAAACATTATGTGTAGTAACCGCTCGTAAGAATTTATACTTCTAAAGACTAAGAAAAAAAAAAAACTACATATAAATTCTATCCCGATCGCGCCAAAAGATGTATAACTTTCGTCGCTGTGGGAATCGAACCGGCGCCTTCTGGTTTCGCGCACATACGTACAACTAAGCCTCGGCTCGGGCTGTCTCTACTGTTCCCCGTGTAAAAGAGTTTTCAAGACTAAGTTTGGCCTAGCCCGTCATATCGAGCTCACAATAGGGCAAATCCGTAATTGCTAGGGTCACCGTCATCGAAATCGATGAGGAGGACTATATATATATATATATATACAACTAAGCGAAAATCTCGACATTTTTAGCAATGCTCGGCACTTAAATTCAAAATTTAAACGTTATATTTATTTTTAGTGCTAGTCTCCGCACTTTAGATGAATCTTGATATTCAGATAAATTGTTTGCCCCTGCCGAGTCAAGCGACCGCTTAGCTTGGCTACAGCTTGTAAATTGTTGTTTCGCACGAGTCAACTAGTCAATATTTATTTTCATAGTAAATTGTGAAGAAATGCCGTAACCAACCTTCCCACGAGGGGTCCGCTTTCACTTCGGCCGTTATGACCCTTATGCTTGCCATCAACCGCTTCGCTTTCTCGTCCATCAATTCGCCGCCTGGTCATTACAAAATTATTATGAATTTACGTCAAAATCCAATAACAACTATTCACAAACACACGATAATGGTTAAATAGCATACGAAGTAACATCCTAGTCATATATCCTTCTCGAGTACCAGTTAAAACCCAGTGTATCCATTTATATTTCTCTTTTACATCTCTACTTCACTTTGTATCTATTTTCTCTAAACTTAATAAAGCTCTTTGTTCAATTGTTTAGATCAAACGCGACACTAGTGCAATTTATTTTATTTTCCCACGAGAGGGCGTCGCCCAGTAGTAACACGATATGTTACTATAATATTTTCTCATATGTTTTTGACGTTACATAATGGTTTAAATTAAACCTATACTGAATAAAGAAATTTTGACTTTGTCTTTGAATCGGTCCGGTTAATCTTGACCCCTAACAGCGGTCGCGGCCAGTATAACTTGAGCCGCCCGCCCACTGACCGTTGAGCAGCGCGTGGTTGTTGTGAGCGTGGTGGTGGCGCGCGAGGCGGCGCAGCGCGTTGCCGCGCTCCAGCTGCTCGAGCACGCGCGCGGCCGCGGCGGCGCGAGCGCAGTTCTGCCACTCTTCCCGAATCAGCTTGATCTGGCTGCAAGGATCATCTCTTATTGGAATCAAGTCATAAATTTCTATTTTTTAATTACACTGCGGATAAATACAAACTACTTTATTAATTAAGCACAAAGCGAATGTATAAAAGGTTTGCTCAGATGTGAGACCTTATGTATCCAACCCGCGGTAGTAAGGTAGAGGAGAAACGGTGTGTGGTCTTTATTGACGTGTGGTTTTTTTTTTGTCGGTATTTATTATCGTGTGAATTTTTTATTTACATGTCACCGTGCACTTTTTTATCCACATGCTTGATATCCTACACATTTGTTCCACTAATATTACATATTGCAGCGGAAGAGATCTTTAGCATTTCTCTAATTTATCCTAAGCTACTGCGTATCATCGTCTCCTCGCGTCAGAAGGGGGATGGGGGCAAAGGGAATGACGAGTTCGCCTCAGGAGAGGGGGCAGTCTGCGGGCAATGACGTGCTAGCCTGAGGAGAGGGGGATCATTCGAGGGGAATGACGTTTACGTCTCAGGAGAGGGGGGCGGTCAGAGCTCGCGTCATGTGGGGGGGAGGGGTTTCGTGTGCGGGGGGGGGGGCGGGCGACTCACGCGCGCAGGTCGTGGTGCGCGTGCGCTAGCGCCGCCCTGCAGGAGGCGAGGTAGGCGGCGTAGGGGCGCCGCGCGCCGAGGTCGGCGCGCAGGGCTGCCGCCAGGCGGGCCGCGCGCGCCCCCGCCGCCGCCGCTCCGCCCCCGCGCCGCCTCCCGCCAGCGCCCTGCCCACCGCCGCGCTCTCCGCGCAGCCGCCGGCGCGCACGAACTCCACCAGCGATGTGCTCGTGCAACGCTGCCGTGGGCAAAGTTTTCGTTGTAGTTTTTCTGTGATGTGGCCACACTGGCTCATGCGGGGAAGTACCGCGACCTAACGGAAGACCGGCATGAAGTGGACGTATAATACTTTCGTGTGAGTCAGGTGACATGGCGCCATTTTTTTTCAGTTTGACAACACTTCAACGAGCCGTCGGGTGTTAATATCCATGGGCGGCGGAAATAACTTAATATTAGGTGAACCGTTAGCTCCCTTGCCAACCTTAATTATAAAAAAAGAATTAAAGTAGTGATCAGTATTATATGTTTCACAGTATCATATGAATATGCGAAAATACAAATAACAATATACTGTATCCTAGCTAGACAAGAACATACGAGTACACAAAATAAAAACACTTGTTAAATCTCTATTCCTAAATCATTAAAAAGTAATCATAGAATTATAAAAGCGAGTACTCACATTGGGCACGTATTCCACGCAGTGCATGTCCGTGTTCGATAGGACGGTGCGCAGACGGCGTTTCATGCTGTTGAACACTTCAGGGTCGTCGAGATCCACCACGCCCTCGCACCTAGGGAACGGAAGAGTTCACACAAATTTTGCGTGTTCCAGTTTAAACACGGTCGTGACACTCCATGGAATTACGGGGCATAAGGTCTTTTAGCCGTGAGCGTACTAAGCACATGGAGATTTGTTTTAGAACGTTGACAGTGTAGTGGGTTCGATTTCGGTAATGGCTAAAAACTTTTCTTCAATTTTTTTCTACAAATTTCAATGTTTGGTATTAAATGTAGTAATTAGCAGTGCAAAAATTAAAATACAAATAATATTTAGTGAGAAGATTATAAACGAAATAGCGATGAAAAGCGGGTTGGCGCCTGTCCAGGTGATGCTCATTTTCCGGGCGGTCGCTTTTAATTCAATATACTCCCGAGTACGATCCCCGGTGCCGGCACCAATAAAATTGTCAATTTTGAGTGCTGAATTATCACGTGCTCAGCGGTGAAGGAAAACATCGTGGGGTAACATGCATATTTTCGGAACTCTTATTAACAAAAAAAATATTTCGAATGCATGTCAAGTCCGCCAACCCGCGGGGCCGCGTTATGGACTATGCCCTAATGCCTCTGTACAGAGGAGGCTTTTGGCCCGAAGTGGGTGACACAAAGGCGTCACTCTACCTGTCCAGGTCGGGGTCGACGAGCAGCTCGGCCAGTCCGGGGCGGCGGGGGCGGGCCCCGTCGGAGCCCTTGCGCCGGTACTTGGCCAATATGTCGTCGGAGCACTCCGCCCCCGCGGCGGCCTCCGCCTCAGCGCGCCCGTCGTCGCTGCGCGCCTCCTCCTCCGGCACCTTGACGTCTGGACGCACACATACGCACATTAGCATCTATTTATGATGAACGTCTCGCATTTTGGTTGGGTAGTGAGCCCCTACGATCAATTCGACCTAGAAGTACTATAGTAATCTGCCCTTCGAAAAAATGTTATTACCCTGTGTTGTAGGGACGTTTTACATACAGCATACTGTGGGTAACACAAACAGTTGTCTTGGCTGGGAATCGAGTGAAAGAGAGAGAGAGAAGAGAAAGAGGAAGTTAGAGAGAGAGAGAGAGAGAGAGAGAGAGAAGAGAATGAGAATGAGAAAGTGAGAGAGAGAGAGAGAAGAGAATGAGAAAGTGAGAGAGAGAAGAGAAAGGAGGAGAGGTAGAGAGAGAGAGAATAAAACGTCTTGACAACTGACCGCTGTGGTGGTGGTGTGAGCGTCCTTTCTGTCGGAAGAACTTGATCTTGTGCAGCAGGTTGCCGCCGGAGCGCTTCACGTTGTTCTTCAGCTCGTCCAGGTTGCCGGCGAGGCTGTCCTCGCCCATGATGCGCCTCCTGCGGAATGCGCGAGCATAACGTACTTGCTGACTACGAACTGAACTTGTCTGAACTCATAACTCTTTCGTGCGGTAGTTAGACGTTAAACGCGTGTCGTAGCAACATTTCGAAGAATGGATGTATGTTAAAAAAATTAAGTAACAGCCTGTATACGTCCCACTGCTGGGTAAGCTACTAAGGGGTTTATTTTATTGAAGGCGTTTTATATAACACAACAAGAGTTACGTCGAAAAGGTAAACACATATACCACCTTCTTGTTTCCTTTTATAAACATACCACCTCCTTGCTTGCTAACCTTTATTATACCAAGCGTGGTGTGATTTAATCCAATTTCAACAAAAGTAGCCTTACGGCCGGTTTCTGAAACATTGATCATCGTAGAAATTAACTAATCAGCTGTCGAGTGGCTTGTTAAATGTCATTTGAGTTGCCAAAAGGATGGTTAAAATCTTTTACATCATAATCAGAATGATCTAAATGATCACAATGATCAACATTTGATAGCTGATTAGTTAATTTCTACGATGATCAGTGTTTCAGATACGGGACATAAGTCTAACGCTTGCATTATAAAATTGACAATTTGATTTTTGGTGGATTTGAACGCCCCTTAAGACTCAAGATCCATTACACAAAGCTGCCCCTACATACCGCTGATGTGTACATCGACACGTCATCTTATATCCAAAGGGCGTGCAAAACCCGACCCACCTCTGCGACTTCTCCGCCGTCGCGTCGAAGCTGATGCTCTTCGGTATGGCGCCCGTGGAGGGCTTCGCCGCCGGCTGCGGGGGCGGGCTGACGCGCATCTCCGTCACGCTCTCCGAGTTCACGTCCTGGCTGGAGCTCCTGTCCGAGGCGGACGTGCCGGCGCTGTTCACGGAGAGCGTGCTCAGCGACACGCCGCCCGCGGGCCCGCCCTCCTGGCGCGCCCTCTGCGCCGGCGCCGATATGCTCGCGGCGCTCATGCGCGTCATCAGCTCCGTTATGGTGGAGCGCGCCGAGTCGGCCCGCTCGGTCTCTATCCCGGAGTCGAACCGCCGCTCGTACTGCGACACGGAGAGCGCGTTGAACGAGCTCTCGCTCGAGTTGAGCGAGCGGTCCATGTGCTCGGCCTCGTCGAACGCCTTCGATGTGGACGGCTGGTCGTATTTAGGCGCCGCCTGGAAGGGCCGCGAGGAGTGCGGGTGCGTGAAGCTGTCGTCCACCCACTGGCTGGTGGCGTTCGACTGGACGGTCGCCTCGTCGAGCGTCGACTCGGTCTGGCCGCTGCCGCTGCGGGGAACGGTGTTTGGTTACGCGGGATTTTAAATTTGTTATTAGAATTAGGTATTCATGCGACGCGTTCGGGAGAAGTGATGAGAGCGGATTTTTACGACGCCTAGAAGCGACTTTGTGGTGACCGTGGGCAAACGATAACTACTTTTTGTTATCGTTTTTAAAGTTATTGAATTAAATCGTTGTCCGTTGCATTTAATGTTTTTTTTTTTCACATACAGAGTACTCGCACACGAGGTAAATTATTTTTCTTTCGATACGCTAAAGAATTAAAGTGAAAAGAGACACATTAACCTGCTAAGTTATTAAGGGTGTCCATTTTATTTAGGGATTCCTTACGTGCAACACACAGCATAAAACGTACAAAACAATCTGGCGTGCTGTTTCAGCCACGCGCGATAAATTTATTACCTATCAGATTCGGGCTAAATAATCAAGGAAAAGCGTGGAAAAATTTGAAGATTACCTCAATAAAATGCCAAATACATTAAATAGACATTGTTCATGTTACTACACTAGAATGGTGATTTATGTCCGTTTTATTTTGAAAATAACCACATAGACGAAGTCAAGAAAAAACGGCAAACAATAAACGAGTCTACGCACCTATTTTGTTCGACGTAGTCAAACACGTCGTTGGGCATCTGAGCTGGTGCCGATGTGCTCGGGCTCTCTGGGGCAGACGCAGCATAGCAGGTCATCACCTGCGGCAAAAAAACACCTCATATGTCGTGCCCCACCGCTGGGCAAAGCCCTTCAAAGTGCAGAGGATATTTGGGCATGATTCACGCGACAGAACTACCTTTCTAGGTTACTTCTTAGTTATGCAGATTTCGATTTTTTTATTGATCTAAGGGCATGTGAACAGCTCTCAAAATTGTAAATTAACTATTTTGGTTATATTTTCCGTTATCTGGTTTTGAGCTTAGGTTGCTCGCGTATACTAAAATGAAATCAGGACGTAAGAAAAACTCAAAAAATTCACTTAGAATAGAATAAAAAGCTTGACTCACAATATAAATAGGAACACCTTTTTACACATGACGTGATCGGCTAGTATAATCTGCCTGAAGCGACGCCTTGTTCTAAGTATTATTGTTTCCATTGGGATATGAACAATGACACGTCCATTTTTTTTAACGAAAAACAAAAAGGACTTCAAATCTCGCTCTGTAATTTATTTTATAATTCATTTTTAGGGGTTCCCTATTACATACGATACCTATGAAATTAATATGGAACCACGTGGGAAGCACCGGCTTTCAAATAAAAAAAAAGAATCATCAAAATCGGTTCACCCAGCTCGAAAGTTCCGAGGTAGCAAACATAAAAAAAAAATACAGCCGAATTGGAAAAAAAATGCGGCCTCCTTTTTTGGAGTCGGTTGAAAATGTCGAGCGGAACCGACGCACCGGGTACCCGTTGACCAGAATGCTCTTGCGGTTCTCCACGAAGGCGGCGTGCGCGTGCGACGCCAATGGGGCCAGGTCGAGCTCACCGCCGCGCGACAGTGCTGCCGTGGCGCTCAAGTATCTGTTGGGACAACATAATGGCGATTTAGATATTTGTTAATTATTTAGTTCGAGATGGATCATCCAAAGGCACCGATTCACAATTTAGCACGCTTATTGCACTTCAATCACTTTTATTTTAATATTTTATACAGATCACATATTGAATGGTCGCGGCCTGTGCAGAAGACAGAGAGAACGAACGAAAATAACATATTTATTATGAATGTGATGAATGAATAATAAGCAATTTTATCGATTATCCATACCGTAGTCTAATAGGGTTTACTGAAAACCGGCGCTGTGATTAACACTTCACTGGAAGCCGAGTGAACACCCATTTAACATCGCACTTCCTGTCGAAATGTATAATAATGATAGCCTAGCATTTCTATATAGATAGATATAGATAGCATTCTTTTTTTCCTGAATGTCATATTTTTTATTTTCGATGATGCGAAATAAGTTTCTATCTTTCTTTCAATTAAATTTGTCATCGTCATTGAAGCCTGTTAGAGTCGACTGCTGGATATAGGCCTCCTTACAGACCGCCACGAACGAGATGTATGGAATCTCCCTTACCGGTTGTTGGGCAGATACCGCGACGTGTGCCTCGGGCTACTTGTCTCAGACTTCTTTGTACCGTTCTGTGAAACCATACCAACATATTAACACAATGAAATAAAAAGTAAAAGATACATGCAAATGATATAATATATAGTCAGTTATCAATTTAAATCCACGAAATATTTTTTGAAACATTCTTTGCTGAAATGGGCGGGCACAGTGCGCCGCGCAAGTACAAGCTTCTACGCCCCTTGTTCTTGGCCAAGCATGATTATGCGGCGTGCATCGCCCTAGCCTAGCGTACGTACTGCCACGCTCGCCATGCGGTGTTGGGTGCAATGCACTACACAAGTATAGTAGCGTAGTACGGCACGCAGGTACCGCCCGATGCACGCATCGTCCGCGTACAAACGAGTGATCGCACTGCGCTCGTATACGTACCAGCGTCCCGCCCATCCTCATGCCAGCGCACGTGCGCCCAGCAAGTACCGCCCTTTGCATGTACTGACGACGTACAAACCGGCGCACGCACTGTGTTCGCGCACGTTCGCAACACTACTAATCACCGTACATACGCCACGCAAGTACCGCCCTTTGCGTATATTGTCCTCATCCAAGCCGGCGCCATGCACTATGCTCGCGAGTTTACAGTACGTGTTGTGAGTGCCGCTAGTCACAGTACGTGTTCCACGTAAGTACCGCTCTTTGCGCGAACTGTCCGCCTCCAAACCGGCGATAGGGATGTGAAAAAATTATCGATATATCGATATTTTTTATTCTATACATCGATATTTTCAGCCGATGTTTGGATCCGATATATCGATGAAAAATATTCAATATAGAAAAATAAAAAAATTATCGTATCCGATATATCGATATTTTGTCTTGGATATATCGAGGCCGAAATTGATACTTTTAAAAATATCGATGCATCGAATATATTTCTTCACTTCCGTTCATCCCTGCGGCGCACGCACTGCGCTGTCGAAGAAAAAAACAGCGGGCGAGAAGGTTGCTCCCGCCGACGCGAGTTGCACCACAGCACCATTTAGCCGGACTGGGTGGCCTAGCACCCGTGAAGAGGAGGCCTAAGAAAGCCATTGTCGTGCTGGGGTCGCGGAAGATTGCGTTTTCCCGTGTCCCCGGCCGATGCGACAGAGACAGGTGCAACGTGAGTTTTTACTGGGCACCCGTTTCCGACTGGCTCTCCCACATATAAGGATTTTTTCCAAGAAAAAAAAAATGAGTGCGTATACTTATATACGCGCGTGAGATGTTATACATCTTTGGCATCATTAAAAAATAGCTTTTGATTGCATGCAAATAATTAATTACAATAAAACAATAAAAATATTGGAAAAGATATGAATAATAAAAATTATGAAAGCGCCATCTACATTCTTAATAGAGCATGCTGCATCTATAAAAAAAATAAACGGTTTAGCGGGCAGCTTCAGAGGTGTGACTTTTGTGTTACTGTGATGCTCGCGCATCTTAAAATTTCGCTCTCGTCATTTTTTCATGACGCGCCTAAGGTACAACCTAAAAAAAAAAAAAAAAAAAACGGGGGCGGGGGCGAGAGGGGCGCTGCAGCTGTCTCCCTCGGCCTCTGCGCGGCCGTACCTGCTGCGGCTGCGGCTGGCGCTGCGGCGCGTCGTCCTGCTGCGAGGCGCGGCGCGGCCACGACGTGTCCGAGCGGGCGGCCACCGACGCGCAGTCCTCCGTGTCCACCTGCGCACGGAGCGGTCGGTCGGGTCAGATCGGTGACGTCACGCGGATGACGTCACACCGGTGACGACACGCGGATGTCGCCACCCGGGGAAGTCATCGCGCTGAGGCATCGAGGGACGCGGTCGAAAGGTGAGCAGCGTTCACAGGTCTAATTTCAACGCCGTCACACCACACAAGTTACCCAGGCGAAAACAGTTTCATTTGTTTGTTGTGTCAGCATTTAAAACTAATCTCGGGCAACGTTCGCGTCATTGGTGAAGCGATTACGTCACACGGGCGATAGTTCATTCGAAGATTTGTAATGGATATCGATTTCGACACAAAATCGGTGACGTGTGACGTATTTCATTCGTAAGATGAATTTTCAAATGACATTTTAAATCTAGCTCCAGGTTTGTGATTACACTTAATATTTCTTTCGCCCCCGTCAAACGGAACGAACTCTCGCCATACACAGGTTCGACAGTAGCGAAATGCTTTATTTATATCTCAGCATAGGACTTATAATAAGAAAAATAAACATATGGACGGTTGCATTTAAGAGTCAGGGTTTTATAACAAAAAAGAAACCAAATTCAAACATAAAACTAAAAACATTGCTAATATCTATAACATTTGAGGATGTCCCTCGATATCTCTGGGATGCAATCATTAGATCCGCGTTTCCTTACCACGGTACCAACCTTAGGATATATCCTTTCCAACGAAAAAAGAATCATCAAAATCTATTCACAAACGACGAAGCTATCCGCGAACACACATAAAAAAAAAACATATACGGTCGAATTGAGAGACCTCCTTCTTTTTCGAAGTCGGTTAAAAATACCTCCGTGTTACGATCGCTGTCCGAAGCGAGCACGTCCATGCTCCAAGCGGACTCGCTCGCGGTCTCTGACACGTCGGGGGCGTTGTTCGTGTTACCACCTGCGGGGCGGAAACTTGGTCATATTTACCGTTCATGTTAACACAACGTATCGCGTTTCCTGAGAAAACTTTTTATTTTTATGTGGAAAGTTACCGAGCGAGCAGACGGTTCACCTGATGTTAAGTGAATACCGCCGCCCGTGGACATCTGTTACACCCGAGGGTTCCAAATGCGTTGACAACATTTTGAAACTTGGGCTCCGGCCACCTCACTCACCAGACGAAACGCGAAAGTATTATATACTTCCGCTTTACGCCGGTCTTCTGTGAGGTCGTGGTACTGAAGGTACAGATGGTAGGTACCTTGGTTGGCGGCGACCTGAGTCTGTTCGCAGGAGTCACCGATGGTCTCGGAGTCGGAGGCCAGAACGTCCGTGCTCCACGTGTCGGACATTATGCTGATGGTTTCGTCGCCCTCCAACAGCTTCTAACGGCAGACAAAGGGAATAAAAAGAAAGAAAGAAATGTTTATTTGAGGGTTGATGACTCACTGGCGCAGTTGCAAAGGTATTGGATTCGGCGTCGGGGGTCGTGGGTTCGATTCCCGCACGGGACAACTATTTGTGTGACAAACAGATAGTTGTTTCGCATCTGGGTGTTTGTCCGCGTGAAATTTATGTTTGTAAAACGTCCCTACAACACAGGATAATGTTATCCTAAAGTAAGGGCAGGGTTTAAAAAAAAAAAAAAGGAAAAAAGGGTATATAAAAAAGAAAGAAATGTTTATTCAGGACATAAATAAATAAGAAATGTTTACAATAAGAAGAGTTACAATTTGAATGCGCCAGATAGCTTTCCACTCAGCATGAGTTCACCGAGTTCCGTAAGTTTTGGTATTCTGTACTCGATATATTCGGCAATTTCCTTCAATTTCAAAGTCAAATAAGAGAAAAACTGTTTTAACAGATACACTAAAATATTGTAGGTATGAAAATACAATTGCGGGCTCACCTTGATCTCGAATTTGCAAAACTTGTCCTCTATATCGTTTCGCGTCTGCTTGAGCAATTTTGCCTCGTTGCTTGCAACTTGGCTCGCCGGCATATTGTTTTGCGACACACTGAAAATAAATAATTATATTAAGTGTCTGTTCTCTAGTTGAAGTTTGTTTTATAATGTTTACCTGTAATTGAAATATGTACATATACTGTTAAAACTTTATGATTAAAAGTTAAATATATTTGTATTGACATACATTCTGTATGTATTAATTTGGTAAGCCTTAATAATTACATAATATGTGGTTTCTTTTATGAACCAGAATTGATTAAAAAATATTCAGGCTGAGAACGCTGAATAGGGTTCGAAGTAATAGAGTGAATAAATTTAAAATAAACGCCGCAACTCCGTAAACACAGTTTAATTTGGTTATGTGTAATCGCGTTAATACAAGAAATTACCAGACCACCGTAACTGTGGTAGGGCCACGCAACAGTCTTCTCTGTTGCACGAATGGGCAGGTCCGTCCGGGTATGTACCACGACCTTGTTACATTTCAGCGTTTCGTCTGGTGAGGTAGCCGGGGCCCACTTTATTAAGAGGTGGGGTAGCTACGGGTGTTGCAAATGTCAATGGGCGGTGGTTATCACTTAACATCCTCTTACTTCTCATACAAAATAGTCACCGTCTAGGCGCCGCCTCCCCTGCCGCCTCCCCTGCCGCATCGCCGTCTGTCACCTGCGAGGAGGGCGTTTCCCTGCCCGAGATGTTGGGACTGCCGCGGCCGCTCACGTTAGCCGACACCTGGCAGAAACATTATGAGTTAGGTGACTCCGTGACGTAATTGCCAAGGTAAGCCAGAAGCACTTGTCCCGTGCGGGAATCGAACACACGATACCTGGCGCCGAATCCAATAGCTTTAATAGCTATCCAAATTTCATTTAAATCGGTTCAGTAGTTTTGGCGTGAAAGCGAGTTGGTTGGCACCTAGTTTCCTAGACAATTTTATGCAAACTAGTTACAACTTCCTATTCATGACCTTTAGTTTGAATTATATAACATAATTGCTATTATAATTTATAGAAAAACAAAGGGCGAAAAGTTTTTTTGCGTATCGAACCCACGTCCTTCTTCACGGCTAATTCGTGCCTCTTTCCATAAATTTAAATTTTTCGTCTCGACTACATAATTTTAACACCATCATTCCCAGTCAATATCAACCTTTTGGTTGAATGGTTTCTAACATCCGGTGTAAGGGGTTTAAAAGAGGAATGGCGAGTGTCATATGCCCACCATGTCCGATAAGTTGTCGTTCTGATCCTCCGTCTCTAGTTCGAGGCTGGAGGTGACGCTGTGGTTCGAAGCCGCCTCGGATACTGCCTCCAGATTGTCCGACGTGTTGCCCAACGACACCTCGTCGTGGGACACCGAGAACCTGTCATATACAACAAACAGGGCTATGGATTAATGTTATTCGGCAAATTCAAACACTTCTGCGACTACTGCCCAGCAGCGGGATAGATTCAATTTACTACAAATAATTAAACATACAAACAATTAATTACATATAAAAAAAGAAGACCGGCGTAAAGTGGGAGTATAATACTTTCGCGTTTCGTCTGGTGAGTGAGGTGGCCGGAGCCCAATTTTCAAACGGTTGTCAACGCATCTGCAAATCACCGAGGGGTGTAGCAGATGTCCATCGGCGGTGGTATTCACTTAACAGGTGAACCACATGCTCGCTTGGCAACTTTTCACATAAAAAATAAACTTTTTCTTTAACTATCCAAATATACCGCTTTCATTACTTATTCTAATAGCTGATACTACAGAACAAAATTTAAAACTGAACAAAATTCAAAGATCTAATTCAAATAGAAACCTAATAAATTCGAATTAAATCGACAAATTATAATAAAAAAAAATCAAATATACAAACATAATAAAAACTAGCGACCCGCCTCGACTTGACACGTGTGCAATGTATGTAGGTTTAGATGTATATGTAATTATCTTGAATCACTCTATCTACTTAAAAAAAAAACCGCAACAAGATCGGTTTCGTAGTTTTAAAGACCTAAGCATACATAGGGACAGACAGATAGCGGGACGACTTTGTTTTATACCATGTAGTGACAAATAAATCTCTCGAGGCCTCCGTTACACTCACCTGGTGCGTTTCTGCACTGGCGCAGCGCCGGGCGCAACAAGCGCGGCGGCCGCGTCCTCCTCCCCCACTTCTGGGCCCACGTAGTAACTCTCCAGAACTTTCGACTCGGGCACCAGGCCTGCGAAAATCGAACCTTGTCACCCACTGACCTTGAGCATATTTGCAAATTTCGGCCACTTCTACATTGTGTACAAAAAGTGTTATAATTTGGAAGAAGTCTTTCAGTTTATATATGCTCCTTTGAGTGCGTGCGTGCGTGTGTGTGTGCGTCCGAGCGTGAGTATGTGCGTTTGTTTGTGTGTTGCCACACCGCACTAAAATATTAATAATGAAATGATATTATTTTTTTTATTATGTAAGCGCGAGTCCGGGAAAGTACCAAGACCTCACTGAATAGCGGCGCTAAGAGGAAGTGTTATACCTCTGCGTTTCGTCTGGTGCGTGAGGTAGGGCGGGCCCACTTCATTGAACGTTGACAACGCATCTACAACCCGTCACTTAACACCAGGTGAACCGCCAACTCGCTTGCTATCTTCTCACATGACAAAAAAAAGTTTACAATCTTACTATCCACCTCAGTCCAGCTCTCAAAGTCTCGCGTAACTTTACGCGGTACATACGAGGTCTCGGTAGGTATGGCTCCTAAACGGCCATCTTTGTACAAAAAAAAAGAAACGAACCGACGTAATCGCTCTCCTCGGTGTTGGCGAGCTTTATGAGCAGCACCTCCGGCTGCTCCGCCCCCGCCTCGTCCCTCTCCCCGTTGGCGCCCTCGTGCAGCGCGGAGCCCGAGCTGGCGCTGCGCGGGAGGCGGGGCTTCGGCACCTTGGCCAGGATGCCGCGCTTCAACCCGTGCCCGTTCTCCGACACGGTGTCCTTGGACTCCGTGGGGGTCCTGCGTTGACGGGTTACTAGTGAGCGTCTACACTAAACTGGTCCTTGCAGCTGGATCGAGGATCTTCTCGTGGAAGCTTAAGTCCTGTATGTACTATGTATAACTTTATAAACGCCTATATTAAACTGGTCCTTGTAGCCAGATCGGGGAGATACTCGTGGAAGTATTAAGTCCTGCATGTACTTTGCGTTACTTTATAAACGCCTATAGTCAATTAATTCTTACAGTCAGATCAAGAAGATACTCGTGGAACGCTTTAAGTCCGACATATAATGTACATATTTAAATGAGCGCCTACATAAAATTGGTCCTTGGAGCCAGATCGAGGAGACTTTGACTCATCGAAAGCGAGACCGATCGATTTTTAACCCTTCCAGGTTTGAGTAGTAAGTTTTATCGACCACTGTAGAAGATCTATTGTATTCGTACAGTTAGCTACGTTTTTTTTTTAACTTTACACAGAAAAGTACAAAGGCGGACTTAATGCCAACGGCTTTTACTACCGTTCAGTCGTACAGTGGTGTGGGGTAAGTGAGGTGTTGCGGTATAAAACTCACTTGCACGCGAGCAGGGCCGGCAGGTCGGGCACTTTGCGCAGCAGGTCGTGGAGGCGCGCGCGGTAGTTTGGCTCGGCGGTCTGGAGGAGCGCCGCCAGGCGAGCGGCACCCTCGCCGCCATCGCCCTCGCTGGCCTCACTGTTCGACATGGCACGAGTTAGATTCACGTTACACAGAGATCTAGGCGGGTGCTACCGTTCTCTTTGATCTCAAGGGGGACGTTTAGTGGCCCTCGCCATCGCCGTTGGACATGGCACGGGTTAGACTCACGTAACTCAGAGAACTGGGCAGGTGCTAATTTTCTTTAATCTCAATGGGGGCGTTTAGTGGCCCACGCCATCGCCGTTGAACATGGAACGGGTTAGATTCACATACACAGAGATCTAGGCGGGTGCTTTGATCTAAAGGGGGGCGTTTGGTCACCCTCGCCCACTCACCAGTTAGATTTAATCAACTGTAAATCTGAATTTTATCAAACTCTAGTTTAATATTCGTTACCTAAAAGCAGCTGCTTCGGCGGCAGGTCCAGAACCGTTCGACTCCTCGGGAGCGAGGCTGGCTGTGTTATTGTTAAGCTTGGATGAGATTCTTTTGAGGAATGTAATCTGAAAATAAAAAAAATATATAAATTAAAAATAAATAATATAATAAATAATATGTATATTTCTGGACACATATTTTACACAAGGTTACTAATACTAATAAGTGAACCGGTGAAAGTTTTTTGACGTTCAATAAGAACTTAAAACAAGACTATATTCAATTAAGAAATTTTGACCTGACTGGAAAACTGCATAACACTGTGCAGCGGTGACTGCATTATTTCTTTATACCTGCACAATTTATTACTTAATGCACCCTTGGCAACTTTTTACAAAAAAAAAAAATCGAAGATATGTGAAATCCGCCAATCCGCAGTGGGGCCGCGTGGTGGACTATGCGCTGACACCATCTGTACAGAGGAGTCCTCTGCCCGGCAGTGGGACATGTATAGACTGATACTTTACTTTTTTACCACAGTACAAAATACCGACATAGTTCCCACTCACCAGCAGGTGCGCGTCGTGCGGCGTGTACAGGGCGACCGTGGTCCGGGGCGGCACGTCGGTGCGGAGGACGGCGTCCGGCTGGGGGGGCGCCGGGGCGGGGCGGGGGCGCACGCGTCCGACATCACCCCCTCCACCAGCGCCCACACGCACGAGCGGTCGAACTTCGAGTAGAGGTCGCGCACCTTGAGCTCCACCTGGCCGCCCATTCGGATCAGCACCAAAGATAGCGATTGAAACTTTGACTTGGTGTAAACTTAAAGCATCAAATGATTCTAAATACTTTGAGCACGGTCGTTGACTCGAGTAAACATGACTAGAGAGAACATCTCCAAACATTGGAAATTACTGCGGACAAGAGGTAGTTTATAAATATAACGAAAAGAGGAGGTCCAAGATGAGAGCCTTGAGGCACGCCAGACGGTAATGGATTTGGTAGACACTCAAAAATACGCATTTACAAGCAGAAAGCGATTTTGAAGTTTGGATTCACAACACCGCAATATAATGCCAGCATGTCTGAGTTTTTGAATTTAGATACCACGGTAAATCGCATCAAAGGACTCCCAGCGATCGACCATAAAATGTGCTACCGCGAATACTACACGTTGTTAAATAACCAAAGTCATTCCGTCTAATATTTGATTTTTGCAGATAATTTTTTGATTTAGAACACTTCACAGAGTCCACATTCACATTACAGTCTTCTTTCTAATGTATAGTATATATACTCAAATCTGAAATTAACAGAGGAATTCAGACCGCAATCCGCACCCACCTCCTGGTAGTAGTTGAGGGAGAGGACTTGCAGTATCTGCGCCACCTGCATCAGGTTGAAGCGGGCCACGTAGGAGACGGGCACGTCCACCACGCCATGCGCCTCCGGGCTGACCACCGCCGGACAGATCAGCTGGCTGAACACTATGTCCGTGCAGATGGCGTGCAGGTCGCGGTCGCTTATCCTGTTTGGATGGGGGACATGTGCGTGTTACATCCCCAGCGAGTTGTGTTGCAGCCGCATTAATTGCGCAATGACCCGTGGTTCCCTCAATATAATCGACTCCTCTTAGTGTCTAAGGGAAATTAGTATGAAAGTTGGTCAAGGGCTTTTGTGAACTTTCATTTCATATTCATAATCGGTTTTTTTAAGATCCTCCGTTGCTGAACCCGTAATTTACGTGAAACCCGAGATCAGTATACAAGAACAGGATAAAAATTATATATAGAGGGAATGTCGTAGTGGTGCTGCATACATCAATCTTGATATCTAGAGTCTAAGATATAGGCTACAAATGGACTTCTAGGCAGTCCAGATAAAAAATTTTATGAAGGAGGGTGGCGAGCACAACCTTTTTTTATTTAAAATATACTTCATGAAGGTCTGAAGTCATTTATAGGACATTCACTCCCAAATTAAGTTTAAAGATAAACTGGTCAGTCAAAAGTCAATCCTAGTGTCTAGAACCATGGGAACTTATTTCAATTGATCTTTTTACATAAGAAAGGTAAGGATAGTTTAAATAAGATAATCGCTTACTTTAGCCACGGTTACGAAACGGACGCTCCGATGGTACCACTACTTTAAAATCTAGGAACCGATCACACACTCCTAAGATTTACGATCCAATGAGGCAAGTCGCTTTATCCGCCGAATTGATAATTTTGATTATATGTACTGAAGGCTGTTGGGAGCAAGTGGCATTCCTAAGGCCACGTGCCTACTATAAAAAATAATTTGTAGTAAAGAATTAATACTATTATCAATTCTGGACGGTATTCATAGGAGCTCGACAAATACAATTGAAATTATACCACTTCGACACCCCACTGCGGACATGTCGAAGCATTACCTTGAATGTTGCTTCATTATGCGTACGATCTGCTGCACAATCCACGCTATGGCCGAGGGGAAATTGGGCCAGTTCTCCCTCAGCGACGAGATGAACTTGGTGGCGAGGTTGTACAGTGACTGCACTGTCCACTTGCGGTAGCGTGTCACCTTCGTCGAGTACTCGCTGCTGGTCGCTTGGCCGAACTTCTTCAGGCGGTCTGACGCCGAAAATCTATAAATAATTGAAGCGCTTTCAGCTCACAGCATTTCTATCGATGGTATTTAGTTTCTCTTTGACTTATAACACTTTTTAAATAATTATTGAAGTACTCTATGACACGATCGGAAATTTGTATTCGCTTGTGATAATGCTTTCAGCAAATAGAAGTACGGTGGGAGAGCAGGAAAGGACATTTTATGACAATGTGGTGACAGTAAAAAAAACTATTAGCCTTAAAAAATCGTTTGAATAATGTTTAGCACCCATAACGTTGGGTCCGACTCGTTAAGTGGATATACCCATATCCACTTCTGTAGTTGCTTGCCGGTAACTTTTAGGCTAACCTAATGTGGTCCAGAAGTCTCTAGGATAATCAATACTCGAGCATACCGTTGTTTAGTAATGTAGTAAAAAAAATCTGTTTCTATATTTATATTATAAACATTTTGCCTTTTAAAATAGTGAGCAAACTTTATATCAAAAAATACCGAACATAACTTTTTAATTGCGATTGCGATGAACTTGAAGTTGCATTTTGGGACACGCTGTATGTATGTGCGTATACTTCGCCGAGAAGCAGACAACACTGTCCGTATTGTGGCAGAATTAAATCACATCTGGATTGACGTTACGAGTTCTATAGACCCACTTCTCCCAACACTGTCTGTTTTGTCGCAGAATTAATCACATTTAGAATACCGTTACGGGTTCTTTAGGTCCACTTCTCCATAGTATTAAAACACTTCATAGATAAAAACAGGTTTTGCAACGAGCGTCACCCCATCTAGCGGCCGCGTGCAGTACGCGCTTCGACAGCCGCAACTTGTCTCACCTCTCCATCGCCTTGTCGGGGTCGATGTCCAGGAAGAACTCGTCCTCGTGAAGCACCGCCATCACGGGCGCGTGCAGCGCCGCGACGAGGAAGCGTCGCGCCGGCGAGTGGCCGTCGCGGAAGGTGGAGTACAGCGAGGCCAGCGCGCACTTGCTCGTGCGGAACAGCCTTACGCGGTACGGACGGTCAGTGCGTGTTTACACAACATGTATGTGCAAATATTATGTATCTTTATATATAAAAATAAGAGATTTCCACCGATAATTGACTCATCACGATATCTCTGGAACCATAAGGCGTAGAGACTTGAAATTTGGTACGAATATTCCTTTTGGATTTTATGAAATTCCACAAAACAACGTTTGTCGGATCAGCTAGTGTTTATATATAAAAATAACGTGTCATGTTGTTTGTCCGCGATGAAATACTAAACTACTGAACCGATCTTAATAAAAGTCTGCAAACTGTGTGCTTTATATCCAACTATAAGAGATAGGATAGTTCACAGTCGTATATTTTTTATTGCAAATTATTCTTTTATTATATGACGAAGAGTTACAATTATCTGTTTAATGGCAGTGTAAGGTGAATTTATCGGCTAGATTGAGTAAGTAGCCATTAGATGGCGCAGAAGAAGTTGCGCAGCCCAGCTAGTACCTATATATTATATAATAGCTAATACTAGCGGACCGACAGACGTTGTCCTGTACTTACTTACAAATAAAAAAATTACAGCTTATAAATAAATAAATACAACTTATAAATAAAAAAATTCCAAAAAAAAAAAGTGTACTAACCAAATTAAGCCTATAAACCATTCTCGAATCGACCTGAAGACACAAAAAAGTTTCATTTAAATCGGTCCAGCCGTCCAGGAGGAACTCAGTGAGATACACATGCACGGTAGGATTATATATTACATAAAAATTTTAGTAATATATTACATAAAAGTTATATTTCCTTTAATATCCTAAAATTAAGACAGTGATTCTTAAGACGCGCGACAAGTATGAGGCGAGGTATGAGCGACAAGTATACAAGTATGAGGTAGATAACTCAAATTACGCCAATTGGTGAAATTATAATTATTGCAATTCCAACTAATATCTCTTTCCGTATCATATGTTCTATATCATTTATCCCATTCAATTATATATGTAAAGCGGAACAATTTTAAACGCCGCGCAGTATGGACATGCGTCATTATATTATTAAACATCGTTGCGCGCGACAGCTAAAGCGACACCGTCTTCATGGTGTTACCATGACCACAAAAAAACTTTCGAAATTTACCTATCAACGTAGTGATTACATTCTCTTTTTTACCTATACTTTTCAATTTATTTAATTAAACCGTTGTCAATTGTGTTTTTTTACAAATAAATATTACTGGCACACGGGATAGATTTTTAGTTGTTTTCTTTGGTTACGCCAAAGAGTATAATGTCTTACGTGTGTACACAACTTGTGTACACACGTTTTTTTGCGAGATGGTGGGTAGCGAGCCTGCGGTATACCAAAGCCCGTAGACTTTCACCTTTAATAGAGTGGGCACCGGTTACTCCACTCACCAGGCGAAACATATAAGTATAACGCTTCCACATCACGTCAGTTCTCTGTGAGGTCGTGGTACGTAAAATTGCAAAGACGGAGGTATATGTTCAATAATTTTAACTAATGGCCGGCCTGATGGTAAGACATCGCAGTTGCGTTGCCAACCCTTGACGGTGGCCTTGCGGTTATCGTATCGAAGTAATACCAAAGTATCAACATTACTGCTCAAAGACGCTATCATGTCGGATTGGGTTCCATTAATGGAACAAAAACCGACGCGTGACTACCATAGTCAAGACGTTATAGATAATTTATTCAATATTCCAAAAATACAACACTTGCTCACAACCATACCATTTTCTATATTTTTATATTCTGTGTAGGTATTTGAAGTGTTTGAAAGTAATTTATAGCAGTCACAAGCACATCAATCATTATTTTTAATTAACACATCTGTATATAGCGTGTCGTTACCACCGCGACAATACGAGAGACGAATTGTATGTTTGCATTTTCTCATGCATTTTCTTTTATGCGAAAACTTGTCAAACGAGCAGTCGGTTCACCTGATGTTAAGTGAATACCGCCGCCCATGGAAATCTGCCACACCCGACGCTTACAGATGCGTTGACAACCTTTTGAAATTTGGGCTCCGGCTACCTCACTCACCAGACGAAACGCGAAAGTATTTGTCATACTTCCCCTTTAGGCTGGTCTTCTGTGAGGTAGTAGTACTTACCCGGACGGGCCTGCCCATTCGTGCAACAGCCGAGGCTGCTGCGTGGCCCTACCACCGTAAACATACAACCAATAATATACAAAACGGGTGAATGACATGCATATTAAATCATAGGAAATCTATATTTTTTCCTGTAGTGCAAGAACAAGTTTCTAAATTAAATCAACCGTTTATGTGGAATATGTATTCAAGACGTTATATGCGGCTATACTTAAAGTACCTAAGCATATGCCTAAGCGTATGTCTTAATATCGGTAAATAGAAATTTGTATGACGCATATCGTGAGTCCGAATGTGATGTTATCGCAAAGGATGCGAGATCGGAACGCAAGTCGACCAATAATGTAGCGAGCTCAATGTACCACATCCTTTGTCCGATCAATGAATGAGGGTACATACGTATTCCGTCGAGGACGGCGGTGGGAAACGCTTGATTGGTCTAAAGCGATACGACGCAGTGAACGGTTTGCATAAGTTGTTTATCGGTCTCACTGACGCACCAGTTATGTCAGATCTTCCACACATTATATATATATTGATACGGTACTAGTGGGAGGGTCATATGTTACCTTACACAGTTTTAAACAAACTAGAAATGAACATCCTAGATTATGTTGACGATTTTATATTAAAGTACCTATCGATAATGTGCTGTTTCATTTTGTATTACCAAACATTCCTTCCCCAAAATCATCATCAGATCTCTGACGTATGTTCACCAATCAGATATTTAACGTCCATAACAGTATACAGATAAACATAAAATAAACAGATTTTAGCATACAATCATTAATCTTACACGGAAAAAGAAATTGGTTTGGTGTATACAGCGTGTCGTTACCATCGCGACAATAAATGAACACACGTCTAACGCTACTTGCCAATAATCATAAAAAAATATTAACGTTAAACAAAATCCATGATTTAAAAAATATATTTTTCAAACAAACTAATTAAGTAAAATAGAAACAAAATTTGTAACATCCTATACTACTCGCGCCACAGCGTCGCATTACAAGCCTCTCCTTCTAACAGTATGTTTTGTCTCTTTTAAATTCATTCAACCCATTCATATGCATTGTGACCTTTACAAATGAACTTTACATTACAGTTTTATAGTTAAGGGTGTTCTAAAATTCTTTATTTTGGAAAATTTAATAACTCTGTAAATATTGATGTTTAAAGAATTTAAATGTTTAATACAATTTTAAAAAGTTAGCCCCTATAAGTGAGTTCATTTACTGTCGAGATTGTAAAGACACCCTGTATAAGCATTTTCGAAGCGCACTATACATACGTATAAACGTAAGCACGAAACGGAAATAAGCAATAAATACGCGATACGAGCCGAGGCTGACATAGGTTTCTGCTCGTATCGAATTATGTAATCAATGTAATAAAATGATTATTCACCGAATGAGTGGGTAACTGACACATGTCTGCGTAGTACAAAAACAAGCGAAGGAAATTCTTTTGCAAATCAATTGTACATTAAACGGCTGATTAATATTATGATTGTTTACAGCGTTAACATGTCCCATATGCGCGCATTTATGAATCACATTTTCGTTACTGGATGTCTGGCTTTTATTCCAGTACCAATACTTATACCATCTTTTAATGTAATTTTCATTTTAAAATTAAAATTCGAACAATACTATAGTTCTAATAATTTTCAAAACATTTACAATATAGAATCATGCTGTTCTTCTATGTAGTCCCATTGTGCAGGTAGAAACTTCTAACAGAAATACAAAAGTTGGGGATAGGTCATAAAGGTTGGCAACATCTTATTTAAACCATTAAGATCTCTTAGTTATCACACAAGAAGTATCACAATGGAAATATTTTCAACAACTTTAACAATAACCCATATTAAATTAAGCTCCTCATCTCATCAGGTCTAACACATTTACCGTAGCACACGAAAGCTGTATACATACTTCCTAGGGTCGTTCGAGGTTGCCATTTGGTGCTTGATCAGGGAGCGTAAGACGGCCAGCAGGCGAGTTCGGTCCGTGGGCAGGCGGCAGCTCCCGTAGAGCCCTGCCACTAGGGAAGCCGGCAGAGATTGCGGCATGTGATCCTCGCCAAGTATCAGGCACAGGGCCACAAGGTGGGGCGTGTCCCGGAGCCATCCCAAGAGCTCCCCCAGAGCCATGGCTTCCTACAACAATCAGAGCAACATCTGAGTTAACCGATAACTTTATTTTTTTTACCTGTCCGAATGCCCCACGTGTCAAGCCCTTAACCAATATAGTTACACATTCTTACACAATTTAGATTGCCAAAAAAAAATACAAAAACTATTTGGTCTTATCAAGTCATTATAACCTGAATCCATACCTGTAGAATTAAAACCTGTTATAGAAGAACTCAGCCACAAGGTCAAGAAGAAATTATTTAATGCTGAAGTTCAGTAAAGGCCTATAGAAGAGTATTGTAGACCCAAGTTTTAAAAAAGGTTCTTCTATAAGATTCTAAGAGGTTCTTCTATCTTCTCACATGTGACTAAAGAACTAGACTTTACACTGATGGTTAAACGTCCAGATTTATTAATACCATTTAAGAATACCAGATCTTGGGGAATAATGCTGGCATAGAAAGTATGTTAATGGTACATATGAAGACCAGAATATCATAATTGAATGCTATAAAGCTGGAATAAATAATTAAAATAAATCTACAATACCAAAATTAAATTGTAACATATTGAGTTTTTAGCTTGGAATGACACTTTTTTTGAGTTCATGAATACTTCATGAATAATTGTAAATATTTGTTTCGTATACAAAAGCTTTCCACATAACAGTGTTTACTGTTGCACGAATGGGCAGGCCCGTCCGGGTAAGTACCACGACCTCAGCCAAAATCCAGCCAATCAGAAGACCAGCGTAAAGTGAAAGTATGACAAATACTTTCGCGTTTTGTCTAGTGAGTGAGGTAGCAGGAGCCCAATTTTCAAAAGGTTGTCAACGCATCTGTAACCTTTGGGTGTAGCAGATGTCCATGGGCGGCGGTATTCACTTAACATCAGGTGTCTGCTCGTTTGGTTCGGTTCGTTCGCATAAAAAAAATAAAAAATGTTTTATAAAACAAGAGCCATATTTTTTTTTAGATACTGCTTAAATGCGGACTGTAAAAACTTCTTATTTTCAAAATAAAAATTGTTCTTTTCTTTTGCTGAATAAATTTATTTTAAATACATGTACTTGTGTATTTTTTTCGTAGTATAAATGAAAGAATTTACATAGTAAAAACATTAAAAAGGTACCCCTTGCATTGAAATACACTCATTAAATCACATATCGATTGAAAAGCATGAGATATTGTTACAATACGATAAATAGATACAATTAGAAGCAATAATATTGGGTCGATATAAATGAATTCAATACAGTTACGATGTGATATATTGATACAATACATTTTTTTGGGAAATCCTAGAGGATGATGACATGCAATAAATTTCTTAGATTTTCCATCCTGTTCGTTGAACTTTTTCCAATGACCATCACCACTTATCTTTCCTCTCACTTCTATTGGACGTATTTATACGATTTTTTGTTTAAGACACAAATATTTTCTCTCACTCAATATGTTCACAGTTAGGATGTTAACAATATAGATAATGCATAAAACAAAACACCTAGCAGACTGACCAAAAGAAAGAATGTCTGAGAATCTTCATTAGGCATGATGCCTACAGCCGAGATAAAAATATGCTAGACAATAAAACAACAAAATAATAAACAAAAGCATGAACATAATCACAGCTTTTATAGGTTCGGCAAATGTTTTCTACATTGTTTATTGGTTCAAATTGACAAAATGTTGTCATTATTTAGTGTGTCCATATAATGATACTCTTTATGTTAGGAGTATTATTATATGGACAAGAAGGTAAACCAACCAAAGTGAAGTAATTTGGAAGTGTTACAGAGCATATTGTTTAAATTAGTAGAAAAAAACCGGCCAATTACGAGGCGTACTCGCGCATGAAGGGTTCCGTACCATTATCTAGAACCATTATCATGAAAACGGCAAAAAATCATGTATGTTGTAAATATTTTTTATTATTTTTTAGTATTATATATTAGCTGCCCCAACAGAAATACATCATCTGTGAAAATTTCAACCGTCTAACTATCATGTTTCATGAGATATAGCCTGGTGACAGACAGACAGCTGAGTCGTAGTAATAGGGTCCCATTTTACTCTTTACTTACAACCCTAAAAAATTAAACACAATACTGCCTATTTGGGCCCAGACCCTTTAACCTAAAGGGCCGTATCATAAAAAATTATCAATGTATTTGATCTACATTCTTTTTTCACATTTTAAGCAATGCCCATTTTGGCTCATACATTGTTATGTCTTTAATAGCAAAATTAATTTCAAATATTGTTTTCATTACAATAGTTTGCACGAGAGATGCTGCCATTGCTATTTTTCATTTAAAGCTTTCAATTTGTTTATATTTAGGTAAAAAAATAATTTTACCTATCCAAAATCCTCATATTTTTACATCAATCTCTATCTAGCATATGACCCCAAAACCAACATCTGAAATATTAACTATAACTAAATATAAACTATATTAGAATAAATGTTAACAAATAATAACAACGTTATTTAAATGAAACATTTGAACTAATTCTAAATTATAATCAGAAATAAAGTTTTAATTAACAAAGCCCTTAAAACTTAAAAAAATAAACTTTATATTATAGTGCAGAAATTGTCATTATCTTATTTTTTGGCTAAAATTCACTATTTGTGACAAGTACAGCCTAGGGATCATTATAATGGCACCTTCGCATGGCACCTTCGCTGGGCAAATTAGTTATTAATTAATCAAGTGTATTTATTTAACATTACCTTTGAAAAACGATAAATTAAATAAACTTAATAAATCAAATAAAATCCTAATAAATATGATAGCCTTTACATGTGTATGCTGTAAATCTTTTAAAGTGGGTGGATACTATAATATATACATAATTTTTTTTATCATATTCCATATTATATAGATACATTATAGGATTTATCACTAACAGCATCTTACCTTATATCTTAGAACCTTATAAGCATCAATAAAAGCAGTACTCTCTAGGAGACTAGCTCTTTGACAAGCTGTTATGGACTCAGCCTCACATCTCGACGAAATAAGGTTTGTTAAGTTTTGACGCTGCATGGAACAAATCCATGCTACTTGAAGTAGCTCCTGAACACTTTTCTCCACCTCCTCATTGAGATTTTGAAGCAGCTGTCGCTCTGAATTTATAAAAATTTTCTCACGGCGTAGCTGATTAGCTAACTCCGCGATGTTCATGCAACCTTCAGGTGTTGGCTGCATCATAATGGCTTTGAATCACTCACACTTATCAACAACACATTTTGTTCGATAAATAAATACAATATTCACGTCATTTCAGGAAGTCTGTATAGTTATTACTTCATTTTACAATTCAACACAGGGCGACAAGTGATGATACACTTTGAAGATATCATGGATAAAGTATTTCATTGATATTTCATTGAAATGATCTTTGTATTACAGGGATAACTCAATTCTTAAACATTTATTAGCAAAATATGCAAGTAAATCGCAAAATGAAACGAAATATATCGATGAATGAAAATCCGTTCGGAAATCGGAAACAAGTAGTACATTTATGGACCAATCACCAATGTCAGAAACAGAATCCAAATAAAGATTTTATGGATACATAAAGCCTGAAAAATTATAAGGCAATATCAATTAAACATTTAGCCCTTTTGCTAACTTTTCAGTAAAACATATGTAGCATTTTTTAATACATTAACAAGAACTACTTTTATTTTTCATTTTAAACAAAAGCCTTCAATAAAAATCGATTTGTACTAATGACATATTTATTATGGTCAACGGAGTTTACGGATTAGAGAGCAGTTCTGCCGTCATCATTGTATTGTAGCTCACATCCCCACATGCCACTAATAATTCAAAAAATCGTCACTACTCATTTTTAATATATATATAATAGTACGATAATTCAAAATATAAATCATTTAAAACTATGAAAATATAGTAAAGGTATCAATATTTTTAGAAAATTAACAAAATAAAGACAATGATAATTAGAAAAAATTTTATTAAGAGAAATTCAAATACCACAAAACAAATTTAAATAAATTCAAAAATATTATAGATTAATTTATTTTGGAATCTTTCATTTCATTTAATGCAATTTCCAATTTTTTAAATACCATTTTTAGTAATCTTAGAAGCTGTAACAGTTTCGATATTTAATTTATTCCTTTTAACCATCTTAACATTTTTTTAAATTATTAAATACGAGTTCTTCAAAAGCGTTACGGAAGGGAAGAGGCAATAACGTAATAATTACTACTTTATCATTCGAATCCATTTGAAGATGAACTAGAATTTTTTAATGATCAAAATCATGAGATAGAGGGAGCCGAGAATGAGGATATTTTACTTATCGATGAAAGATTTTCATGGTAAGGTAAGGAAGAATAATTGTTCGAAATCGTATCTAAAAAAATGACAAATGTTTACATTTAAATATTTTTTTGTGAACTAAAGTTTTATTCCACTAATTCTCCACAATTTCATATAAATGTTATTCCCCAATTTATCTTGAAATATTTATAAAATTTCCCATGTTTTGGGGAATTTCTCACGAATCGGCAGCCCTTGTAGATTGGTAGTAGTATCTCATCGTATAGAAAGAAAATACCCATATATAAAATCACTTATATGGCGTTATGGTGCCGTAGTATAACGTAAGTATACGTTTTGTAAAAAGCACAAAAAGTTATTAAAAAGGGACAAAAATAAATGGGTAGTTGTTCCGTTCACAAGCTTTCAATAGTACTAAAATTGATGGCTTTTATGATAATATCTGACATTTGTAGAAAAAAGTACGAAAAGTTCGCCGCTGTGGGAAACGAACCCACGTCATGTTATTTAATATACATAGATTTTTATCTGATATTAAGGTTATTTATAACACTAGAAGACTATTCTAATCATTAAGAAGATCATTCTGATCAATTCAGAGAGTTTAACCATTCTTTTGGCAAGTTAAATAATATTTGAGAAGCTATTACATATATAACATTTGAGATCAGTGTTTCAGAAACCGGGCGTAAGATAGCTAAATTAAAATTACTGAAATTACCAAAATTGAAATTTAGGTACTTTTTTAACTAAGTAAATGGACAATTCAACAAGTGTGTAAAAACGAATTGCCTATGCATCAAATTCAATTATATAAGTAAATATAGATTCAATTATATAAGTAGATGTAAAGTTTAGCGAACAGTAATTAGTAATTATTTATTACAATGCTATTTAACGAAGATATTGTTTATAACTTGGAACCGCACTTACATATATGGTAGAGATGCTAACGCATAATAATTTCATTACACAAGGCAGAGCAAGCTACCTTAAATTTTTTTTAATAAAAATTCATATGATATAAAATGTTCATGTGATATAAAAATTATAATAATAACACTAAACATGTTCAAAATGCGAATAGAATGATGATATATTGTTTCTAATATCGATATTCACATCGCACTAGTAAGGAACGAAAGACCGAATGAAATCATTACATAAATAAAGATTAAAAATGAACGAATCGAGTGGTTACAAAGTGAGTGTGAGTGATGGATCTAAGGAAATCTTTGGACTGCTCACTGCAGGTCTTTCTATAAAATTCGTGTAAATAATATAATATAATAGATGTTTATATTTAAGTATTTAAATGTGATTTGTGGACAATTTTACTCATTACAATGTCCAATAATTCAATTGACGAAAAATTAAAAGGTCTGCAAGAACGCCTTCAAAATGAAATGCGTACGCGGGGTGATGGTGGTTTACAGAACCAAGGTGGTCTCGGAACACCTAAGTCCGGAGGTCGGAAATTTAGACCCTGTAAGTACATTTTTCGCATTTGACACTTTTTCGAGGACCATATATCTGGAAACAAATCAATATGACATCTGTTTTGTTCTGTATATCAACAATTATACACACATTTATATGTTTTATCATTAATGTACATTGAATTTTGTATTTGGTATCTATTACCTCGGAATAATCAAATGTATACAGGCATTTTTAATATACAAGCTTTGTTTTAACTTTCAGACACAAGTGTAATTATAATTTAAACTTCACTATACTAGGAGCCAATGTTTAGATTGGTTTGTTTGAAATTCATGCCAGCAGCTTTCCTATTGCTGAACAGTCACAATGTGTACAAATGATTTGCATAACTTGGCATTGAGCACTGGGTGTTGTACACAGTTTTATCCATACTTGCATATATATGTGTCAGATATCATTGTTTCTTAGAGATTTACATTCATTATAAAAATTCTAAGTCATGGCAGTTGCATATGTAGAATCCCATGCATTAAACAATCCAGTGTTAACCTAAGATGTCTTAATTCAATGATAATTTGATTGATAAATAAATGAATGAATTAAAGTTTACCTTTAGTAGTACCTCTTAGTTTACACATTTATTGGAGTAATTTTTGTGTATAGAATTCTTAATTTTAGCTAACAGTAATTAACTTATTCAAGCAAAATTATAATATTCTGAAGAAAGCTTTCAAGGTTTTTTCATTATTTTTATTTCACTAAATTCTTGAATATAACGATTTTACCAAAATATGTTTATGCACCTTGCTATTTTGGAATAATTTTCATCAGTTATATAGTAAACACTTTTCTTCACAATTATTAGTTTTATTTAGTTTTGTAATTTATCTTCCATAATATGCCAAAAAGTTGTATATTGTACAATCTGATTATTATTTGCAATTTGTTTTTGCTTTAAAAAATAAAAAGGCTAACTAATTAGTTGCTACATTTGTTTTACAAATACTTCATACTAATTGCATTTCAACTGTCCAAAAAAGACCTAACAAGGATCAGTAATAGAGAAGTCCTTTAATAATACAACCACTATGGAAATGAAATTAGTAAGATTTGGTTAGTTTACTGTAACATTAATTCACTCTTTTTAAGCCCTTCTCTATTATGGAGAAATATTTTCATAATTAGACATATTTAACAGTGTAACTATTCATAATCAGCTTACACCAAAGACTTGCACAAAATACTTCAAAAATTACAAAACAAATATAGGCATAGCAAACATGTCAGGAAAAGTTACAGAATATATGTTTAGATTTTTATTTTGTGTGAAGGTGGCAAGTGTTTTAAGTGAAGGTTGCAGATACATTGCTACCCTTTAATAAAGTTGGCCCTGGCTACCTCACTCACCACTCACCAGACGTGGTTAGGTCGTGGTACCTACCTCAGATAGACCTGTCCATTAGTGCAACAACATACCTATTGATAGCAATAAAGTTACAATTATTGTGATTGATTAAATTTGGTTTACTTTTCTCTTCCCTCTATATAATGGAATATAATGCTTGGTTGTTGTTTTCTTTTTAAATTGGTCCAAATTGATGGGAGATTTTAGTTAAGTGACATGAGTCAACTTTTTTCTCACATTATTTCATGTATCATTTAAAACTGCTTTATTGCTTTTGACTCTGCACCAGACAGTTGTGTCATTTTAAGCAATGATTTCTTTTAAACAAATGTTAATTAAGAATACTTATCTAAGTACACAATGAATTTATGCCTTTAATAAAAAGCTTTCTGTGGATTGTGATGGTTAAAATCACCTGATTTTAATTGGTGATTTAAATTTCGATTAAAATCAATTTTTTTTTTTATATAACATCCTTGATTTAAAATCCCTTTTTCATCAAAAAAAAATCAATCAAAAGTTATTAAGAATTTTAATGTAATAAAATACAAATTATAATTCAACAAAGTGGACTATACATGGTTGGAAATAATATTATCCAAGTGTACTTTATTTCAAATCAAATTTAGAAATGGTGAGGTTAGGCACTGAGAAGGCAGCCAAATTACTGTTCTTTTTAAAGAACCAGATTAGTAAAAATAAGTAATTGTGTCTTATAACATAAACGCCCAGGTTCTGAAACTCTGATCATCTTAGATGTCAACTAATCAGCAGTAAAACGGTCAAATTTCAAATATCATTTTAGTTGCCAAAAGGATGGTTAAACTATCTGAATTGACAATAATGATCAGTAATCAGAATGATCAATTCAAAGAGTTTATCCATCATTTTGGCCAGTCAAATGACATTTTAAAATCCATCTGACAACTGACTAGTTGACATCTATGATGATCAGTGTTTCAGAAACCAGGCATAAGAATATACTTGCAAATATTTAATATTAATAATCGGCTTCCAAATGAAAAAAAAAAAATAATAATAATAAAGATCTTTTATCAACCTGCTTTAATCTATTGTACGTTTTTCAGTGTTTACTAGAGACATCCCTCTACCACCAAGATCACCACAAGCAACGGAGACTGAGTTCCGCATGCGTGAAGTGTACAAGGTATATCTTTTATAAGTATAAGTGTATATCTTTTATAATTTTTTTTTAATTTGTTTTAAAAACAATTCCTTGAGTTGTTTCTGCTTAGTCACATTATGTTAAGATTAGAACAACCTATTTTGGACTTATGTTGCAGAGTTCCTATTTTCTTCCTCTTAAAAAACTTTCTGATATTTAAAACATAATAAATATTGTAGGTATATAAATTATTTATAAGATTAACAATGAAATATGTATGTAATATAAATTAAGCCATCAAAAGTTAAAGTAAACATGTAATAAAATATATATCTTATTTTGAATGCTTTAGGTGAGTGGAAAGCTAAATGTGGGGGGTGCAGAGTACCGTTCAAGCATAGATGATCTACAGCATATGGGCGAGCTGGGAAGTGGTACATGTGGACATGTAGTCAAGATGTTGCACAAGCCTTCAGGGGCTGTTATAGCTGTTAAGGTGAGAAATAACTATAGTATTTACATCTGTACTACAGTACAATATGTACGTTAGTAATGTTGTTTTTGTTATATGTGACAATTTTAAGTTTTAGCTAGCTTTCCATAAAATATTATATTACACTATCCAAAGAAATAGCACTAAATAAGATGTGGGCTATACCAAATTATGGTGTTGTAGCATCATGTTTTTAATGTAACTGATACTATTTTTTCCCTTTTCAATACAATAATTCTGTTATTTTTAGGGTTCCATACCCAAAGGGTAAAGTGGGACCCTATTACTAAGACTCCACTGTCTGTTTGTCCGTCTGTCACCAGGCTGTTTCGTGAACCGTGATAGTTAGACAGCTGATTTATTCTTGTTGCCACTATAACAAAAAATACTAAAAAAACAGAATAAAAAAATATTTAAGTGGGGCTCCCGTACAACAGACATGATTCTTTTTCCGTTTTTATTGATAGTGATACATAACCCTTCGTTCGCGAGTCCGACTCGCACTTGGCCGGTTTTTTCTTTTTCACGAGATCCGTTTTGTAAACCGATAAATGTTTGCTGTGAGAAACAGACATGATACAACAAACACTCAAACTGTATCTCCCCGTTCAGCAAATGCGTCGCTCCGGCAACTCGGAGGAGACCAAGCGGATCCTGATGGACCTCGACGTGGTGGTCCGCTCGCACGACTGCCCCTACATCGTGCGCTGCCTCGGCTGCTTCGTGACTGACGCCGACGTCTGGATATGCATGGAGCTGATGGCCTCCTGCTTCGACAAACTGCTGAAGAGGCTCGGCGCTCCCATTCCAGAGGCTATACTGGGAAAGGTCACCGTTGCGGTGAGTTCTGCATAAGCTCTTTTGTCTGCTCGGTTCTTTACGTACAAATTAATAATTGTTTTAAAATCGATAGAATAATCTCCCTTAATGTTACCATTGTGACGTACAATTAGAAACATGATTTTTTTAAATAAAAATTAATTTCAATAATTTATATAAATAAGTCCAATTCCAATTTTAATTTAATGGCTCCAACAATATCAATAATTTTATGATAAAACAAACTTTTGACAATTTGTTTTGGTGATAGTGAAGTTAGTCAATCTGATTGCTTGGTACTGTGGCAGAAATTCTCATGGGTGATTAATAGTTTAAAATAAGCATTTGACTCCGTAGCTTAGTTGAAAGGGGTTCGATTCCCACAGACGATTGTTTCGGAGCTGGGTGTCTGTCGACCTGTAATTTATGTAGGCATGTAAAACGTCTTTGTCCATCATGACGTTATCCTACAGTAAGGGGGCAATGTTTTCGATGGGAAGATTACAATAGATGTCCTAGGTCGCAGTGGACGTTGGGACTTACTGCCCAACACGTAATAATTAAAATTTGATCGAACTATCCGCCAGACGGTGAAGGCGCTGTCGTACCTGAAGGAGACCCACGGCGTGATCCACCGCGACGTGAAGCCGAGCAACATACTGCTGGACGAGCGCGGGAACGTGAAGCTTTGCGACTTCGGCATCAGTGGGCGGCTGGTCGACTCCAAGGCGAAGACGAGGAGCGCCGGCTGCGCGGCCTACATGGCGGTGATGATGGCTTGCTCTTATGCGGCAGAGGGTTTCGGAACGAGCGAACGGTTCGGCTGGCGTCTAGTAACTGCGGCCGCGGTTGTGTGGGCCCACCTTTATATGGCCCGGTCCCCTCAACGACCAGACGAAATTCAGTCTCGCCTCGCGCCTCTGGAATTGGAATTGTGTATCGCTAAATGACAATTGAGTCGTAAAATCAGATAAAGTATTTTTCTCAGCGACCTTTAATTAATATTTATTCCGAATCGTGTGACAAAAATCTGTTTAGATGTCAGCTGCTGCTAACAATATCTAAAGTTATTCTAACCTCTCACCAAATAACTAACGCCCGCTCTTTATAAATATTAATAAAAAAACATATTTATTATTAAAGTTGTCAAGTGGCAGTTTACCTAATTATCCATTCTATTAATTCTATAATATGTGAAGCATTGCATTTGCGTTGCTAACTCACAAAAGGATCCCCAGTCACATCACTTATCGGATATAGCGCGAAAGTTTAAAACTTCCACTGCACGTCGATGTTCCTTGAGTTGAATAATAAAATAGTGTATGATACTTGCAGCCGGAGCGGATAGACCCACCGGACCCAAGCCGGCCAGATTACGACATTCGGGCGGACGTGTGGTCGCTGGGCATATCGCTAGTGGAGCTCGCCACCGGGGTTTTCCCCTACAGGAATTGTCAGAACGACTTTGAGGTCTTAACTAGGGTGAGTCCTCCCTTTTTTTGTTGAAGAGGACATGTGATTCACGCGATAATCGAAGTTTAGTATACAATTATTAAATATTAGCAACATCAAAGCAAAGCTAATAGTATATATGTACAATTTAACTAGGTATTCCTTTCCAGAGGTGATAAATAAATGTTTTATCTCATTATGTAGTAACTATTTTAGGACACATTTTTACACAATATTCTCTAGTCCCAAACTAAGCAAAGCTTGTACTATGGGTACTAGAAAACTGATAAACATACTTAAACATACTTTTCTTTTGTAAATAAATACATATTATTCATATATTAACACCCAGACACTAGTGTGTCTGTCTACGTGTAATCGATAAATATTGTGTGATGAACATAGTATTTTTCTAGAAAATACTATGTTCATCACACAATATTTATCCAGTAGTGGGAATCGAACCCACACCCGTCTGGCGCAGGAGGCAGGTACACTACCCACAACGCCATTCGGGTCGTCCATGTAGTAACTATATCTCATCATAAGTGAACATTACGTTTTTATGAGGAATAAATTCTTAAAACCTAAATGAAACTATTTTTACAGATACATCGGGTTTATTTTAAAGTACAATTTCGACTGACGTGTCAATACTTTTAGTAGTTATGGTAGGAGCATACTAAAAATTGAGTCCTTAATCCATCTTTCAAAATACAGTTGATAATTTTCTCCAATATGTATTGGACATTTTTATTTCCAAAATACACTTTTAGTTATTGGTGAGCTATTAATGGTTACAGACAAGTGTATGAATGAGTGCAGATTAGTTATTCAGGGCTTCACCTTTTTAAAAAAAGATAGCTTAATATGACATATCATGAAATTAAATAATTATATTAATAATAAATCATAAAATTGCAGGTCATTGCAGACGACCCGCCGCAGTTACCAGACACCACCGACTTCACGCCCGAGTTCAAATCTTTTGTATCTCAGTGGTATGTTACAAGTCTATGTAGGCTTAACCTTAATGTCTACTTCATTCTCCCTTATACACTGATGGATATGTGGAAGTATATGAAGAAATTTGCCGGGGCTGTTGAAACAATTCCAAGATTGTATGTTACTTGTTTTTATTCAATATCATTATCTAGTGACCAACACACATTTGTAGCTCATTTAGTTGTAGTAGCTGTTCAATTCTGCATAAAAGTAAAGAAAAGTAAAGTACCAGCCTATACATGTCCAACTGCTGGGCAAAGTCCTCCTCTGTACTGAGGGTACCAGGGCATTGTTCACCACATGGCCTCACTGTGGAATGTTTTTTTTTTGTTATTATTTCGAAAATATGCAGGTTTCCTCACAATGTTTTCCTTTACCGCGGAGCACGTGATAAGTCACCTAAGTGATGTACTAAATTAACAAATTCATTGGTACCAGTACTGGGGATCGAACTCTGGTTGTTCAAATAAATTGAATTAAAGGTGAGCGCACGGTCACTGAGCTATCACCGCTCGATTCCATTCTGAATAATGAGATTCTATAAATCCTCACAATCCATATATAATTTTGTGGTATTACTTCAAACAGTTCTTGTTCAAGTATCCGCCTACAACCTTATCAAATCCTATTCTATATAAGGCTCCATAAACCTCACAAATCTCGCCAAATTTGTCTACATGAAGATAGTTTAGAATGCTTCTAGTAACGCGTCATTCCTTTCCGCAGCCTGACGAAGAACTACAGGCACCGGCCGAAGTACCCCAAGCTGCTCGAGCACCCGTTCGTGGTGAAATCGGCGCGGAGCCCCGTGTCCGTCGAAGACTGGTACGCGACGCTGCCGAAGAGCGGGGCGCCGCCCTCGCCCGCCTCGCCGGCCAATGGCCACTCGAGCCCGCCCACGCCGCAGCCGATCAGGAGCTTCGTCACCAGCTCGCACCGCTGGTCGCCCGACCAGGCCACGCCCACACCCGGAAGGTGCGCAAGAAGTCCAATGGAAATCATCCCTGCACTCAGACAAGTGTTAACCTACACGATTATATGATAATTTCTTAACGCGATTACACATTATAAATGAAACTAACTTTTACGGATTTATCGCGTTTATTTTTAATTTTAATTCCCGACGTTTCGAACGCTTTACAGCGTTCATGGTCACGGGACAGACGTCTATCCGTTTACCATGAAGATAAATCCGTAAAAATTAGTTTCATTTACACGATTATACCTATACATTTGTCAATTTTACAGTAAATACTTTTTGCTGTAAAGAGACCCTCATAGTGATAACTGAAAATGGAAAATGGAAAAAATTAAAATTCATTTATTGATAAACAGAATTACAGTTACATAGTGCATTGGCAAACACTAGGCGAAGCCTTCCTATTGTTGCGAGTTACGATTGCCGTCTGTATTACAAATTTTAAAAATGTTTTTACATGTATTTAAAAGTCATCACAAGTCTTAAAACATATTGTCATATATACACCCAAAATTTTCATGGATAGATTTTTGAATTGAGACTGAGTTTTAATTTGGACAGGTTCTTAGATTTCTTTCTATTTTGTTATATAATTTATCTGATATTCTCTGTTATATTATGTATTTGTTTGTAAACTGTGCCCTCCATGAGTTGCTTAACAGAAAACTATTGTTTGTTTAGAAATGCCAACATTCTTATTTTGTAGAGCGCGATGGGCATCACCGTCGCACGCGAGTGGCAGTAGTTCGCAGCCGGCTAGTTTAGAAGCAGACTTCTCAAATCACTCACCTTATCCGAGACGCAGGTATGTTTTTTAAACATAAACAACCCTGTGGGGTATTGCATTAATACTATATTCTAAGGAACAACCTCGTTGTTTGGTGTTTATTGTTAAAAATATTTTTTTTACATATCTGATAGATCTGTACAGTAATTGTACCAGTAATAGAGGAAGTCGACACTTAAATGTAGAAAAAAAAAATCTGAATCGAACATCTAATAATCATAATCTAATAATAATCAACTAATTTATTTACTTATTTTAACTCGATTTTTCTAATAAGACTGTATATGTAGCAAATCGGAAAAACAAAACACCACACAAAGCAGATTCTGCTGTTGCACGAATGGGCAGGCCTGTCCGGGGAAGTATCATGGCCTTGTAGAAGACCAACAGAAGTGGAAATACGTTTGTGAGTGACGTAACCGGGGCCCACTTTCTTAATGGTTGGCAACACATTTGCTACTCGACAGGTGTTGTAGACGTCCGTTGGCGTCGGTTATCACCTAACATCAGGTGAACCGCCTGATCCCTTGCCAGTTTTCACATAAAAAAATATCAATATACAAATTCAACACCGATTGAATACCTTCCATTTGCCAATTTGCGTTTCAGGACGATAGATGCATGCGCGTCACCGCCCCCACCTCCAGTGCGGAGGGTCTCCGCCGAGAACCGTTGGAGGGCGTCGCCCGCTGTAAGCACGAGTGTATTGAATTGGAAATATATAATTTAGCTGCAAACCTCTCATCGGGATTTAGACTTAGTTTCATATTTAATTCACATACAGCTTCTATTGTTATTCGCTTATACCCTCTGTACAGAGGAGACCTTTACCCAGCAGTGGGATGTATATAGGCTGGCACTTTACTTTACCCCTATTAAGTCATAGTAATTAATCAAAATAAATTGATAAATATTTAATAAAATAATAACCCATAGATAATGATTATTTTGCTACAAATTACTTTATTGCGTCTGTACTTACATTTTTTTTATATAAGATTATTTCAATATTAAATTGTTATGTAAGATTTTTATTATAAAGTTTTTTGTTACAGAGTTCTGGCAACACTAGTCCGATTGTTCTACAAAGGTTTTATCATCAAAGTCAGCAGAGGAGATCAAGGGTAGACCTCCATTCTACACCTAGGCACCGGAGGTAATAACATATTTTCACACCTAAATAAGATTTGTTTGAAAACATGTTTTAAAATAAATTCATCTTTCAAATATTTTTTTTTCAGTCTGAGCAGAGAACATAGTACTGGAAGGTCCCCAGAGCCACCCCCAAGAACTAGTAGACAACATAATATGCTAGGGCATGATGGTAAGTAATTATATACTTTAATAATTATAAAATCCAGAAGTTTCGAACACTATATAGATTTTATTTTCATTGGACATGGTCTGTCCAAATCATGATCAAAATAAAAGTCCTAAAATCTGTTTAAAGTTTCATTAATAAAGTATCCATATTAATTTTAAAAAATGCATACTTCATGTCAGTAATTGTCTGCAGAACAAAATATCTAGCTGATGAAATAAACAATATAATATAAACATTGTCAATATTATTAATCAACAAAATTCTATTCATATTAATATATTTTATAGCCATTTTTAATTTGATGCACAATCAGCTATGCAACACTCGGCTTGTCTGCTGAATGAGTGTATTGAAAAGGTTCAATTCATATCATTTTTATGTTTCTATTTCAGCCAATGGAAGTTCCGAATTTGAGCCACCGCCGTTACATGAGCGGTTGCACCCACCCTCGCCGTTACTGCTCAGTGACAGGTGAGTACTAGTTACGTCTTATGGGAAAAATATATAAGGATGCTGTGGGCATAAAGCCCATAACAGGTATGCCAAATTTATCAATCAGTTAATAATCCCATTAATATTTAAATGATGGAATTATAGAAGAATATCACAAATGGTAACACAGTGAAGCTGGTTTACTCTCATAATTCCTAAACGCGCCTAAAAGAAATATAACTTCAAAAAGCAGCAATATATTGCCATTTTCAACCGACTTGGAGTAGGTTCTCAATTCGGCTTTTTTTTTTAATTTTGATACCTCAGACCTTTTGCCTGAGTGAACCGATTTTGATGATCCTTTTTTTTAATTGACAGCTGGTGCTTTCCACGTGGTCCCATATTAATTTCATCGGTATTAGAACTTGGGCTCTGGAGATACGTAGGGAAATCCTGAAAATCAATTATAAAATGAATACAGAGCGAGATATTTGACGTCGGTTTTGTTTTTCGTTAATAAAAAAATTTTCTTGTTTATATTAGAAACGGTCAATAGTCTCGGTCGACTTTTGAAAATATTTCGGACTCTTTTGTTATTTGTTTCACTTTTGATTCCCAGGCTATCGGAGGGCCGTAGCCAGAGCTTAACACGCGCCGAGCTCCGCAACGGCTACCGCGCGGAGCTGCCTGCTCCCCACGCGAAACACCACGACGACCAGGGTGAGCCCTCACATACCCAAGCCAAGTACACTACACTACCTCTACCTTTTTTATGTGAGAAGGTGGCAAGCGAGAGCGGAGAAGTTAAGCTGCGTTGCCAACTTTTAATAAAGTGGGCCCCGGCTACCTCACTCACCAGGCGAAACGCAGTAGTATACCACTTCCACTTCACGTAGTTCTTCTGTTGGGTTGTGGTAGTTAAAGGACCTGCCCATTCATGCAACACCATAGACCTAACACTATCAATCCCTACTCTGTACTTTGGTTACACAATCGTATGAGGTAGTCGCCATAACATCACCAACTCTACTTACAAATAACAAGCACAAAACTCAAATGCGTCTCGGAACTGCATTACGTTCACGTTAAGAATGCAGTAAGTCGTCTGTTGTACTGCGGAATAAAGGTGTATTCACCATGGTGTTAAAATGCAAACAAATTTTATTATTTGAAGATAAAGATTAATGGATTTATAAAAAAATACTTTCTAAAATCTGACTAAAATCAGAATATAATCATTAATATTATTTTCTGCTTATTGCACATTTATCTACATTATTGAATTTATCATTGACAGCCGGGCTTTATTCTTCACCGGCGATTTTTTTGTCTATTCTATTGTATTAATGACTCCGTGGCGCAGTCGCCAAGGTATTGGCTTCGGCGTTGGGGGTCGTGGGTTCGATACCCACACGGGACAACTATTTGTGTGACTCACAGATAGTTCCGCTTCTGGGTGTTTGTCCGCGTGAAATTTATGTTTGTATAAACGTCCTTACAACACAGGATAATGTTATCCCAAAGTAAGGGCAATATTTATAAAGAAAAAAATCTATTATCTCGGACATACCGCATGCAGTTTCTGTGTTTTGTACTATAATTTCCACAGACATATTTAAATCATACTGTTAAAGTACTTAAAAACAGTGTAAATTACTTTTCGTTCTCCACTATTATTATTTTTATGAATGTATGAGGTATTTGATCTTTAAAATTAATTCAGCACAAACGTTGGGTTTGAAACCTGTATAAGGCTATGCCTTAAACTGACCAGTGATAACTCTACTTACTAATTAGAAACGATTTGATTGATTAAGGGCCGGCAGACAATGATGATTCACTGCATTCACTGAACCAGAACATCTATAGGTCATTAATAATGTTAACTCCATCAGGCGCATTTAAGTTTTACGCGTTTTATAAATATAGTAGACGTATACACAACTGAAAATTCTACATGACATCGAATCGAATCGTGGAAATACCTAAAACTAAAAGTTATAATCATTTCTACATATTAATTTTTAACACTACAGAGATTACAACATCCATTACTTTTAACATTGAAGCTATAATTTTATGGCAATTAAAGAGTTTTACACATAAGAATACATATTAAAGCCACGTAAAATTAGAATCTGGGAAGATATATTTTAATTTATCAAATTGTTTTTTTGTACCATTTTTTCAATTTTTAAATACTTATACGACTTCACATAAAATATCTGTATAAGAATAAACATAATTATTTTATTCCATCTTTTGTATTAAGTCCTTCAACTTTATTTCAAACCGAGGGCAGCCAGCCTATGAAGTGGATTTATGTATTATAATTGATTAATGCTGCGCTTGCCACTCTTTTCTTTGCCATTCGTATTACTTTGGGAAGTGATTGTATTATCTGGAATATCGTTGCCAGTTTTCGATGAAAAAAAGACATTTAATATAGACATAGTAAGAACGCTCATTGGCATTATACGCGGGGGAAAATGTACTATTCTCCATTTTAATCAGTTAATCGTTTATAACTTATTTGATATATATATTGAGCTCAACATAACATACCATTTTTATTAGTGGCCATTGTAAAAATATCTTCATTTTCATAATATTGAATCATTTACAAAATTATTATGTTAATAGAGACATTTAGAATTAGCTGTGTGCAAAATAATTGAATCTTAATCAATTATATAATTTAGATTATAAGCGATAATACAATCACTTCATTTCACCTTCCATCAGTTTTCTCATATTTCTTTGACATTACCAGACCTTCCATTTAATGTGTTAGCGGAACAGTAAACGGGACTCAATGGTACAGCAAAATAACTAGTGCTTCGTGCTTCGCAGTTATTCTGCTTGAGCTAAATTGATTTTAAGAAAAATGTAGAAAGTACCTTTTTATTCTCAATATATTAATTATTATAACATCTACATCTTTCTTTATACGTAAAAGGACTCATAATTAAAATCTATATAGGTTTTGATAATGAGCTCAAAGATCTAAAACATTAGTTTCAATTTACGTTCCGTGTGGTAGGCTAAAACTAACCAGAAAATGCGAGCTATGTCACAAATTTCAGTATGTCGCTATTTGTTGGAGTGTGATTGTGTCACTTTAAGCGCATCTAGGAGAGGCAAATATAGGTTTAAATTATTTTCAAATACAGTTTTAATTTTATTATACATCTAAAGAATTATGCACTAACAAGAGTGATTTGTAATCAATTTCAATCAAAAGTTAAAATTTGTAATTTTTTAAATATTACTTTAATTTTAGTTGCTGTATGTTCTGGTCTAATTATAATAATGCATCATTCAATATCTTAAAAATACCTCATTGCGCACACATCATAGCCAGTTTATACTATATTTAATTTTTCACTATTCATTCCATGTGTTAATTTGTCGAATTACTTTTTTTTTTATTTACAAACTTTGTTGTGTCACTTTATTTAGTTGTCGAGTGGGTATTCACTTAGATATAAAGTAAAGATTTTAAGGCTGAACTAGACAAAATAAACAAATTAATCCTGGTGCTGATTAATAATTAAGTGCTAATTTAATAGATGCAGTCGTAGGTTTTGTATCTTACAAACTGTTGACATTGAACTTTTAATAGGTATTAATCGTGGTTATTTCTGTGCTGAAGTGACATGATCCAAATTTGTTTGAAAATGGAAATGAGTGTTCCACTTTCAAACAAATTTGCTATGTTTACTGTTCTTAAATGTGTAATCTTTGTGTACTGATGTGTATATTATGTTCGTGAATCGAGGGAAAGACGAAATGATTTTTTAGAAACTTTCGTAAGCCATTTTAAACTTTAGTTAACTGTTTCTGGAATGCTGCTTTTCCCTCGATGGCACAACACGACCTGTGCTTTGCCGCTGTCTCCTCACGCGACCCACACATCGCCTGCCATCTGTTGCTCTGTCACATGCCTCGCTACACTAAACACAACCTTAACACCTCGCTAATAACGACTACATACGCAAAACGGGGGTTACACTTGCTTTGGGTCGGCGTTCGCCGTTAGTCGAATGTAGGTTCAAGTTTGGACCGCACGTCGCCCGACTTTGCCTTTTGTTTTAAGTATATTTCTAAAATAGTAATGGTATTCGTTATAGAAAAAAAAATTGGATTTTATTTCTAAATTTTAACTTTTAAAATAATCGTAAAACACGAACTACCTCAGAAATTACCACACACTTTTAATTTTCTTTGAATAGAATACATAAAGATAAGTCCTTATCTTTTTTTTTCTTAATTTAATTTTAAAAAGTTTTAATAACATGAAAACTTATTAAAAAATGACCGTGAACTTATTTTTTTTTTAAATAGAGAAATGAATTTTGTGTAGGCTTGTACTTAGTAAGCGTCGAAAGTTGTTTTTAAATAGGCAACTACTTTGCCCTGTCATTGACACAACATTAGCGTTTCATATTCATCCGTCCATTGTACCTATTACATTCCTCGGCACCGTTAGGTTCCCATTTAGTTGCTGTTGTCAGTTCGTTCGTCGTAGAGCGGTCTCATTCGGAACGACGTCGGCGGTCCGAACGTTGCAAATGTAGCTTTTAGTAGCAAGGTGTGCGGTGTGTCATAATCATCTCTACCATCGGCCACCGTCAAGGCTTCGCACTAGCCCGCCGCAGCGACCGGCCGGGCGGCAGACGCGGCAGCTCGATGGTTGACGTTTTCGATCGAAACGGCTCACGTCAAATTAAAAAAAAAGGGAACAGATAACAAATATTGCCTTTTTTTCTTTGACGTTTAAACACGGCCAGTATCATAAAATTAATAAACGAAAAACATCGCCTTTTGCAGGTTAATAGAATCTTGTTCGGAACTTTTCTGAATTTAATAAAAATATTCTAATCAAACAAAAAAGTATCAATCAAGCTGCTAAAACGCACGCAGGTCGGTACATTCTATAACATAATAAATCACATCTTGTTACCGTTACGAGCGTTCGCGGCCAAAAAAAAATCGATAAGGAGCCTCACTAAGAGTTTGTGTGAATAAAAGAGGCCATCTGCATCCGAGCACAACCGGTCTATTTGTCGAGTTTCAACCATCGGGCTCCCGAAGAGTGGGCAGCGTGGTCCGCGTGGGGGGAGGGCGGGGCTGGTACCGGGGGCGGCTTATGGGATCCGGGTGCGGTAAACGTGGGCGTGGGGGCAGGCTGGCTGCACTCGCTCGCCGGGCTGGTGAAGCGCCGGCTCAGCGGCTACGTGAAGTGGCACCATCTTGCAGCGCGCCGCGACCACGACCACCACCACCACCACGGCCACCAGCAGCAGCGCCACCAGCAGCTGCACAGGTGAGTGACCGCCGCCGGGCGAGCGACGACCGCGCAGGTACGTCAACGCCGCGGCACGGTCACCGTCGCGGGATGGTCACCGTAGCGGGATGGTCACCGTATCGTGACGGTCACAGCGCTAGAGCGTGGACTTGCGGCTGCGAAAAAGCCGTTCGTAACGGCTCGCGGCTCATTAACTCCTCCTCTGCGTAGGGATTACTATAATACGTCAAAGGAGACCTGTAATTAGGGTTGTCAACATTCACAACAACTTCGGTTGACTTTAGCGATGCGCGAGCGCGCTGCTGTCCGCGTGTCATTATCGTGATCTCTTCGTAGGGATTGCTACAATACGCCAAGGAGAGCAGTAATTAGGGTTGTCAACATTCCTTCGGCAGATCACAGTATTTTTGGAAAAATAAAGAAAAAGAGAGCTATAAAAATATAGTAAATGGATAGAATTTTAGAGATAAAGTGTAGATGTATTCTTTACACAAAGATATATTTCATATAATATTGATCCATCAGGGTGATTTTTAGACGAAGTACATAGTTTGAAATTACGTTTTGGGTTGTTAAATTGCACTGTGGTTTGCACCTATAATTGAGATGGCACTTACCAAGCCCGATATTAGCATATTACGTATAAATTGTATAAATCTAGTGTTCATCTTATTGGTGTAGTAAAAATAAATAAATAAATAAAATAAAATAAACGTTAATTGAGCATTCCATAATTAAATAAAAAAGATTAATATTTTATTTTGACAGAAATAACCAGAAAATTATCAATTCAAATAATTTTTGTTTATCCCGTTAAGAGTGGTCGCCCTATTGATAAGCGAATTAGTAATTATGCGTTCAGCGAACAGTTTTAGAGCACGTGAATAGGTTATTGTATTGAGACGGTAAGGCAGGAATTTCTTAAGGTGTCTATAGTGTTTGAAAAAAATTAAAAATAATCTTTGAAAAAAAAAGGTCATAAGTACGTACGTACGTAGATTTAGAATCAAATTCTGCATGCTCATTTAATATGGCCGTCGTCTATAAAATCACCTGTATATACGGTTCGGAATCCTAACTGTAACTGTTATGGCTCCGTTGATTCCCTCAATTTCCCTTGTCTGTTTCGGTCACCACTACGCAGGTAGGGTTCGTGCGAGAACTGGCATCTTTAAAAACAATTGTTTTTACATCAAGTGAGTTTTTTTTATATGCTTCCGATTAGATCGCAGTCATCTTTGCAAGGTCGCCCAAGTTTCGGCGAGGAAAATTTTTTGACAGCATTTAAGGGCGCGCTTTGATTGGTCCTACCTCGGTGTAAGGCCCGGAAGGAACCTTCCAGGTTCATGTATGTGCATACGGGGACTGTTGTACAGGTGGGACATAGCCTTAAGCCAAACGTTTCGCGCAATATTCCGTACCAATCAATGACTCCGTTCTAGTGGAATGCAAAGGGAGACGACGGAGCTAGCATAGAAAACATTATTTAGAAAATTTGAAACGCCTACCACGTAAGGAAGTTTTGATGGAAATGAATAGGTTATTGCTTCACCATTCTAGCAATCATCAACATCGATTTAATAGCGAATTTAATAATTTTCAACGTTACCATTAATATACACACCCGCATGCTAGAAGCTTTATTCGCGCTTTCGTAATAGAGAACTCTTTAATTCCTTTCATCGTCATTTACACGCGTTAATAATACATTGCATTTACAGCGGTCAAGTATCGGCGTGTAGGAGAGTGCTATAAATTTAACATTGCAAAAGTCATTGCGCTTCCAAATTTGAAAATGCGGCGTAGAGAGCACTCATTCACTTTTGTAATATGTGCGTGTGTATGTGTTTTTTTTTTTAAATTTAAAATAGCCTATACGAATACGCCACCGTTTGGAGGGCATTTCGCGTGTGCGCGGTGTGAAATCGAAGAGTTTCCCTTAGATGGGGCACGAGCGAGAGTTGGAGCGTCCCAGCATCCCCTCTGCCGCCGCGGGCCCCGCCCCCGCGCCCCGCAGACTAGCACCCGCCCCCATTTCCCCAACGGCGGTCAGCTCGCCCAGGCCTTCGCCCGACCGGGCGCCCCCAAGCCCGTCTGGTGCACGCAGGCCTTCGCACCGAAACAGGCCTGGCCTGAGAAACGCCTCCCGAAGGCACCCGCTGACCAGGCCGCAGATCGCTTCCCAAAACAAACGTGGCCCGCCCAGCCGATTAAGTCTTAACTCCGCCTCACCAACCCCTTAAACACTGTTTGTCGATTACGATGTTTTCACTCGGCTTGTAGCGGCCACTTCACGTCGCCATTCGTAACTTCCCGCGGTTTTACTGCACAGACAATCAATAAAAAAAATAACACCATCGACACTTATAATCACAGATTGTTAAATAGCAATAAAATGTAAGCGCGTGATTAGTGACTTTTATCTGTATTATTAATGTGTATTGAATGTTATTACCACAGATTATGTCAAATTTATTCCGCTAGTCTTCGCGGCTTGCTGTGACACGCGTTTCAATGGCCTGTGATAATTATGTAATTTTGATGCTTGGAACTTTTGATATTGCATCATTTATCTATATACTTAGAGGAGGACGTTTGAGATATTAACCATCTCCGGTTCAAGAGCTAAGTGAAAACATAAGTAAATTATTAGAAAGACCACTGAAGGCTGTAATTTTCCTTATATACCTAGTAACATTGTAAATTTTACACTTGGAAGGTATTTGTGATGTAGTGGTTGGTTATTAGCCGGTTATGGAGATGGGTTTGCCAGTGTTGTGACTTAACAATTTGACTGAAAACAATATTCTAACGTATGGGCCCTAGATCTATAAATTCGTAAGTGTACAAATCGATTGCTGCATCAAAGATAATGGTTGGCAGATATTTCTCTTTCTGTTTCCTTTCTCTATTTCCTATTTCCACTCTTCCTACGCCTGTTTTCTGTTGTATTCAAATTGTTTTAACAACAATTCTCTTTGATCAGTTCAATCATTTAGACGTTTTGTGTAAATGTATAAAAGAAAAAAAATCTAACATGAAATGTATTTGATATGAAAATAAAATTAAAGCGTTATAGTGAATCATTATCGATATATGGAGTGTAGCGACTGTGGAATTATAACACAACTTTTTCGTTTTAATTTTTCGATTCTTGTGTAAATTATGATAATTTTTGAACCTTTGTATTTCTATAGGGTAAATGATTTTATATTTAAATGATACATGAACTTAAGTGCAATTCACAAAACCCACAAATTAGCGCCAACGTACGCATATGAACACCAAAAAGTTCAAGACAAATATGATATAATGTAAATACATAAATTATTATAAGTTTCGCGGCTTTTTATTAACGAGAGATTTGAATAGGTTAAACTGCAAGCATTATTGTGATGCTTGAAACTCGGCGGAAATACTGCCTTAGATCCTATGTAATACTTAATATTACTGTTATTTTTCTTAAGAAACATTTTGTTAGCTTCACGCATCCGTAATTTTTTTTTCTCAAAATTCAGTGTAAATTTAAATTATTCACTAGAATTGAGTGGTCTGAAATTTTTTTTAAGTTACCATTCTGTAACAAACTGCATAATAGTAACACAATTACAATGCGTGAAGTGTTATTTAAATAGTACATGCGACAATCAATTCCTATTTATTGTTTACATAAATATAGTGCAAAAATGTTTGTCGATGTAAATATTATGTATGTATTCTATTAATAAGGGACATTAGAAATGCAATATTAAGATCGAATTATTTTTTTCTATACATAATAGGCGACGCATTATGACGTTCATCGAAAGCTTTGTCGTTTGAAGTGTTATTTTTGTTACGAACAATAGTATTTTTTGACAAATCACGACCGATTTTGGACAAATTTTTCATCTGCTTGTAGATTTGTATATTGAAAAGTTTCGAGGTATTTTTAACGGTTGACAAAAGTAAATTTCCTAAAGTGGAAAAAACTATAGGGTGCTGTTGTGTAAATATTCGTTTAGTCGTAAACATGAACTCAATTAAAAAAAAATTGTTTAATTTTACATTTTTCGCTGTAACATTTTTCTTTTTCATAAAAGTTCGTTTAAAATTAAATTCATTACAAAATACAGAAGGTATAAAAGTGCAAAATTATATTTTATTGTAATTAAAAGATACAATTGAATTAAATTAAAATTTCATATTTGAAAATTTTGTGTTGTCGATAAAAATGCCTTTATGAAGACAAAGTTGAAGATTTTGAATGCAATTAAGGTTGACAATATTCGTAGTGTAATTTAATCTACGTTTGGTAAAGCTGAAATGCCCGTTAATTGCTAGAGTGCAAAGTTCGTTATTCGAAGCACCGCGTGCCCCATATTGGGCGCCTTGTCGATACTCCTTTGACACCTGATTTTTTTAAACGGCGTCCAACGATTTTTTCATAATTTTGTATAAAAATATTGTCATAATTTTTTTATTTGTTTTTGTAATTTTAATTGTCATAATTGTAAAAAAAAAGTTTCGTTATATATTTAACGACGTTTATTATATTTTTACCATTGTCATATTAGCCTTAAAGTTCTCCTTACCAGGCCATGAAATCTTTATAAAAAATCATTGTCATATCTGTATTAAAAATCAATTTTTTTGCATAAAACATAATTTCGCTTTTTTACCCGTGTGTTTTTGTCGTCCACATTTTTATAAAATTAATAATTACCCTTATTGAATAAAAATGAAGATAAGTAAAACCTGGTAAGGTGAAATTTTTAAATTAACTCTCCATTCATGATGAATGCAGACGGCATTGCTTTGATAAGCGCATTTTTAATTCTAGTACTTTTATTGCTAAAGTTCAATATCAAACCTTAGTACAATTATGTATGTATTCTTTATGACCATTCAGTGTTTGCAACCACTTCTTAGTACACATGAAACAAACTTTAAAGTCCTAACTTTATATCATTAATGTATCTATAATTTTGACACAATTATGTACTTATTTGGCCCAAACATAGCCGGTTTTTTCATGAAAATCATGTGTCGGGAGACGTCGACTTCCGCTAGTAGCGCCCTCTAGTCCGCACGCAGCGACACGTGCAAACACCTTAGAATAGGTCGTGACTATATTTAAATAAAATCTGTTTAAGAAATAATGTCTGGTTAGTTTTATTTTAACGTATTTGAGATAGAGAATATTTTATGCCCTTCCCTTATGCTTAATATTTATTCATTTAAAAAACTATCCATCTTATTGCCATCAAGAACAAGATAGGAAATATTTTTTTTCAAGGCCGACTATGAATTGGTAAGTCGGGTAATACTTTTTTAAAAACATAAATTTTTACGGACCCCGCAACAACTTCTGATGTTGCTCGAATGGGCAGGCTTGTCCGGGAACTCACAGAAGATAAAACTTAGAGTTTAGACCTTCGTTTGGTGACTGAGGCAACCGGGGCCCACTTTATTAAAAGTTGATAATGGGTGTTGTATATGTCCATTGGTTGCGGTAATCACTTAACCGCCTGCTAGTTTGATAACAAAAAAATCGAACATCGTCACGAGTTTTGTAACATGATTTTCGGTTGACTTTGCACTAAGAGAGAAGAAAGCTTTGTAAAAAAGTATGTCATTATGTCATTATCTTGATTTTTTTATTAAACTCTAATGATTAACAAATCTAAAATGAAACATACATACTACATAAAAATGTTTGATGACTCGGTGGTGCTTGCTAAGCTATTGCACCAAAGGTCGTGGGTTCGATTTATATATACTTTTCCCCTGAAAGCGTCTGTGACCCACAGAGAATAGTTCAGGATCTTGGTGTTTATCCCCAAGGAAGGTTGATGTCTGGCAGGCGGCCGGTGGAAAAACCTAGCCAATACCATTTTCACTATTTGCTGAAAAACCAATTTTCCAAATCATTCCTTTTAAAAAACTTTCAATACATCAATCCTTACTATAGAGGGATGTTATGGAGATCCGTAACCGTAAACTATCGGATATCCAAAACTGCAACCGAATCGAATCGTCTAAATTGGTCTAATCAAATCACGTTAGACAGATTTTCGCCTGGCCAATCTGTGACAGACCCAGGATCCCAGTAGGATAACAAAGGCCCTAGATGTCCCCGGCAACGGAAACTATTCGGTATCGCCGAAAATCAGTTAGGCGATAACAGTCGGGTGGTGTTAGCGATTAGCAACATGGAAATTTTGGCTTTTCACAATGGGCCACAATACCTCCAAGTCATTACCACCGATTATTTGGTGTTAGGCCTATTACTGTGGAACATTACATACGATACGGTTTTGCGGATCATCTCCTCACTTCCGTTGACATAGTCTGTTATGTGAATGCCTCACTAGTAGCAGAAGCCGACTGAGCCCTTTTGAGGCCCAGGACAGCAAAATTTAAGTAGTTGATCTAATGTTATATATTTTATAAGTTTTTTATTCACTTCAGAGAGCCGTGAGCTCATTGTCCGGGGTTCGATACCCGGTGCCGGCACCAATGTAATTGTGTAGTGGATCATGCCCTGATACCCATTATACAGAGGAGGCCTTTGCCCGGCAGTGGGACATGTGTAGGCCGTTACTTAACCTTTTTTTATTCTCTTCACATTTGTAACATACAAAGAAAAAAAAACGATTAGTGAAAATAAATTAGTAGGTAGTTTTTATTTCTAGTTTACATATTTTATAATGTTTGTTTTCGTGCCTTCATTTTACCGAACACCCCAATATCTTCGGTGAAATCTATACACACAGATTACTGAGTCGCTCTTGATTCATTGTAAATCGAAAATAAATTTTAATTAGTTTGAGTTTGGAATCGTTTAACCGTCTCCAGCTACTTCTGGGTCGAGGCGGGTAAACGTAATTTTTTCCTCCACGTAACTACTAGTTTAGTAGTTGCTAAGTTAATTTAAGCTAGTCGAACTTAGACTGCAAATCGTTGTGCCTAAGATACACGAATTAGACTAAGAGATATCACTTCACAACACTGAGGCGCTTAGGTTTTATAAATTTTTCATTCATGATTTGTGCGTCCGTTTCAATGGGTCTGAAGTAAGACTGGGCGGTATTCAGAGTACCTTGCCCTCATTCTGGACATAGCTATAGTGTTAGCAAGCTGTTTATTTACCAGCCTCGACCTAAAAGGCGCCCGTGACGGTTAAACGGCAAAAAGGACTGAGTGCTCATTTGACATTGCGTACTGGGCTGTATACTAGTTTTACTCACTAAATAAT